GTTAAATATTATTATCATTATTATGGGCACAATTTTGTAGAAAGTCTTGCTATTTCTGCTCGGTATTATGGGTTTTGAGCCGAAGGGACAAGTAAATCATTCAGCCTTTCACCTTAGCTAGCCCTAAACATGGGGGGAGGTGATTAGATACTTATTTTCATGAGAATCGGTGTACGTCACAGGAAAACTCACATATGTTCAACATTTTATAAAACTTGGGAGACATTTTCATCCCTGAGTGGAAAAGAAGGCAACATTTGAAAGCGATAGCAATCTGAATAAGTAGGCCAAGACTACAGTAGTATGTGAAAGGCATCAGTGAATTAATACACATATGATAGTATAGACCCCCATATTTTAACATTGGAATCCCAAATCTTTTTAAAGCCCATACAAAAATATATATATATTCTGTTTAAACTTTACAACAGAACGCCTATGTGTACAGACCCTGTACATATATATCTGACCCACCTTTGAACAAAAAAATAAGTGTGAGGCTCTTTCTAAGGGTTGATATATATCTATCACAAGATTTATAGTCACAATAATAAGTGATAAATGTGAACCACAGATTGGCACTTTAGTATAGATAAGAAGCATTGATTTTGTAAATAGTTTACAAAAATACCTCATATGACAGTACCAAACTATTAAGATTCTTTCAAACTGTAACTAAGTTAGACTCTATTTATTTACATTAATCCAGTCCACTTATTGGCACTCTTATAAGACAGATATATTAGTAGAATTGATTGCATTGACTTTTCATTAAACAAATTATCTCATTAGAAAATATAAAACTAGGATATACTCTAATAAGTGTAATATTATCAATCTTAATTTAAAACATCAATATTTCATCACATATTTTCTTTATAATATAGATCACATATCACATATTTCTATATAATATAGATCATATATCACACATTTTCTTTATACTATCACATATTTTCTTTATAATATATATCATATATCACATATTTTCTTTATAATATACATCATAAATCATATTCTTTATAATAAAGATATAAACAATGAAATGTACATCATTCTGATCACAATGCTTCCTTTTCTGCTCCCTCACTCTACCTGCATAAATATAATTCAACTTTCCTGTTTTTAGTAACCATATATCCGTCTCTTTTCACTTATAATAACCTCTAGAGACCTGAGAAATCTTTCAAGGCCACCCACCCTTTCTAACAAGCTGAACTGGGTGAATGTCTTCAAAATGACTGAGAAGCAGACTGGTTATCGTTCTTGTTTTTAGTAACCATATCTGTCTCTTTTCACTTATGATTACCTCTTGATCGAGACCCGAGATATCTTTCAAGGCAACCCACCCTTTCTAACGAGCTGAACCGGGTGAATGTCTTCAAAATGACTGAAAAGCAGACTGGTTATCGTTCTTGTTTTAGTAACCATATCTGTCTCTTTTCACTTATAATAACCTCTTGAAGCCTGAGATATCTTTCAAGGCAGCCCACCCTTTCTAACGAGCTGAACTGGGTGAAAGTCTTCAAAATAACTGAGAAGCAGACTGGTGAAATTTATAATCACAGTACCAATGATCGATTCACTTGTAATAATTCCATTATTCTATATTGTAGAAGTGTTGTAGTCGAGTGGTTTAAGCACTTGACTTGAAATTCAAAGGTCGTGGTTCGATCCCTGACACGGCACTACTGTTCTTTGGCAAGGCATTAATCTTCATTTGCCACACTCGACCCAGGTGAGGTAAATGGGTACCTGGCAGGAATTAATTCCTTGAAATGCTGGAGCGCTGTTATGGCAGCTAGGCTAAAGCCGGGGTAATAATTAGTGCGCCTAGATAGACGGCGCTATAGAAATGCCTATTATGATTATTAAATATTATTATTAGACAAGTTTTTCGGTCAGCCTATTGCTCCCTATCCTTTTCTCCTTCTTTCATGAAAGTAAAATTAAATTATTTCACACAAGGATGACTTCTTGCACATTGGGTTACGTAGCTTCCCTGCAGATTGGCCATCCCTCTCAAATGCCGATTCCTCTTCTCCTAGATCTGGTTTTGCTTCCCTCCAGGTTGACGGGATGTTGGCTGGATTCACATCCAAGACGGTCTGCAGAGAGACAGAAGGCAGAATACTGTCACAGACAGGCATAGTGATGCATTTCCATGAAAAACTATGAAAACTATTTATTGATGACATCCTGTGCGCACTAAGAATGAACATCTTGTATTGTAGTTTGATATACTCCCCAGGGAGTGGAGATGGTGCACATTGTGAGTGAATGAATCTGATAACGGGGTAATAATTCATGTAAAGCACTTAGAAATGGTACTTTGTATTAAACTAAATAAATCCAGATTATTATTTATTAAGAAAATAATTCTTATCTAGGAGCTGGGGGGGGGGAGAGGGGGTTCAGGATCCCAATGAGGATTATTTATGATTTTTAGGGCATATGATAATTGACCATCATTAATGGGGACAAAAATCCTATTTAAATCAACGAACAGTCTTGTTTACTACTAAAAGTAATGATATATAGAACTAGACCAAGAATTGCATGGAGGTATGGAAAAGGCAGCTGCAACGTCATGGGGTCACAAAGCTTCATGATCCATTGCTCTACATTCACAAATTGAGATGTATCTGTGTAATCTGGTTCCGTGAGTTGCTTGATCTGCTCTCTGAGTTTCATCACATTGAACAGGGCTGGCCTGGGAGGAGCATCTACTGATACGTTCCTGTAAATATAAAGAACATGGCAGGAAAGTTTTGTGTAGAATTGTTAGTAATGTCCATACTGTACATCTAGAAAAGTAATTTGAATTTTCACAGCTTCAGTATTATTCACATAAATTGCAGTAGTGTGTGTATATACACAAACTAGACATCCTAGCACAATATTTCTACCTATGTAAAACAATTAAATTTGCAACAGTTATGCCTTTCTGGTTCCAGGCATCTGTCTTTACATGCCACTACATTTTGTGAAACTACCTTAGTTTCTTTACAGCAGTATTACAAATTTCACAAGTTCACATTTGGCTTGTCAGAGACCAAAACATTACATTGTAGTTCTCTGGAAATTCATGCTATCTGAGGTTGAGGTAACTCACTTGGCTTTAGCGAATCTTTGTAGAATCCTGTAGACTGCAATCACCAGTGCCAGTGAATCAGAGCGCGACACCTGTGAGGAGCCATCTCCAACTCTCAGATGCTCAATATCATCAGGCAGACTCACTTTACGCTGACCAATCAGTTACGCCCAAACGTCATCCGTTGTATTGACGACACTGTGCACCAGATGAAAGTAAGTAGGCTTCTGTGGCAGACTGTGGACTTGGACAGGCAGCATGAGAGCGTCAGGGTTGGAAACCCTCTGCCGCCAGATAGCGACGTGAAACTCCTCCACGCACTCGGGGCTCTCGATGTAGCTCGGAGAAAGGATGGGCACGATACAGCTGGCCTTATCGAGAGAAGCCAGATTGTCCTGCGTGTCGCTTGCTACAGCCTTCAGAACAAGACCAGGGGCATTACTCTCCAGGAGCTTGTAGATGAAATCTACAAACTTTTGATCATCACTGTAATAACTGATGATGACTTCGTCTTTGGTTGTAGACCCGGCTTCAGTCTCTTTGATCTTGGTGTCTGATTCGGAATGGTTTAAGACCCTGCTTAGTACGGGTGGGAACGGTACATCCGAGTTCGGTAATTTGTCAGCAGTACCAAATTCCTTCTGGATAGAAGCATGATGGAATGATGCCATCTCATCGTCTGAAGATGCACAAGGAATCTGGGAAAAAAACAATATATTAGTTTCATAATCTTGATTATATTGCACCAAAAATATTTACATTTCGCAAAGAATGTTGTACAAACATTAAGCAAATTATCTAGTGTAAATTCATGGAAATTGATGAGGAGTTGCATGTAATGTACAATTATTGTGTCATATCATCAACAACAAAAAATCTTAATACATCATGTCTCTTGTTTCTAATAAGAATGAATATCAACTTTATGTTTTGACATTTGGCTAATCGTCTTTCCACATAGCCCACTGTCCATTCTATCAATAATTAAGAAATTGAAATGCATGCACCACCAGTTACCTTGCAAATGATAACTATTTATCATGCAAATGAGAGGCCCAAGTGAGGAAAAAGAAAATTGTGAAAACTATGTTGGAAAAGCGGAACTTACATTGTCCTCATCAAAAACTTTGGTGAGAGCTTCACTTGTGTCCACCTTGCCTCCTGTTATCTCACTACCCTTCTCTTTCTCTCTCTCTCTTTTCATCTCTCATCTATTTTCTCTCTCTCTATCTCTCTATCTCTCTATCTCTCTCTCTCTCTTCATCTCTCATCTATTCTCTCTCTCTCTCTTTATCTCTCATCTATTATGATGATGATAACAATTAAAACAGTCGATTATGAGCGCCTTACATAGAATAACATCAGACATCAGATTCCCATTTATACCTTTTAATTCAGCTAACCTTTATACTTTACCCGCCCCTCTCCAAATCATTTTTTTAACGGGACGCCCGCCCCTCGATTGGGTGGAATCATTCCCTTTATTTATTTTTAAAATATTTTTCACGAATTTTTTTCTCTCTCTTCTCTCTTTTTTTCTCTCTCTTTATATCCCCTCTCTCAGTCTCTCTATCATCTCATTCCCTCTTTATCTCACTACCCTTCTCTCTCTCTTCATTTCGCATAATTATATTCTCTCACTTATCTCTCATCTATTATCTCTCTCTCCCTCTCTCTCTTTTTTTTATTTATCATCCTCTCCTTCTCTCAATCTCTCTCTCTCTCTCTCTCTCTCTCTTTATTTTTCATCTATTCTCTTTCTTTATCTCTCATCTATTATCTCTCTCTCCCTCTCTCTCAATTTCTAATCTACCATCCTCTCCTTCTCTCAATCTCTCTCTCACCCTCTCTCTCTCCCTCTCTCTCCCTCTCTCTCTCTCTCTATGTTTCTATTGGTACTTCCTGTAGTGTTTATTACATAAGACTTCCTCATTGATTAGTGTAAGTTAAACATGTAAAGAGTTTAAAGACAATTAACCTTGAGCGCTGTATATATGAAGGTAACTTACAAATGTATTTATTAGCTTTTCTGTTATATGCACATTCATGATTATTGAGTATACTTTAACGATAAACTTGGGTCTCCTTTTTCAGGGACACCATGAACAGTGAATTTTATGCTTAAACAAAATTGGTAACAAATATAAGAAGAATAATCTACAATAAAGTACATTTTTCTGAGTAAAATATGGTGATATCAATGTTGATTAAGAATGATATTAGATTAAGAAGCACATAACACTATATACTCATGGAACAACAAGGTAACTTCAAGAACTGCATGTATTTTTTTGTTAATTGACAAAGGTTTAAAGTAAGAAAAAATAATACATTTTGTATCTCCTACAGTTTTTACATTATATCTTATTCACTTATTTTTCGTTTACCACCAAAGGAGTAAATACATTTCCCATATGATTTTCCAAATCTGTCGGTCAATTAAATCTGGTGTCGCCAAAGCCACTGGCCCGTCTCTGGGGTCTAGTGGTTAAGGCACTGGAATTCTCAGCCAGTAACACGGATCGATTCCAGACGGAGACAATTTTTGTTCAACCTTTGCAAAGACATTTTAAAAGAGAACACAGCAATGGGGAACTTTGCTTCAAGCTACACAAATATCATTATCTAATTCCTTTCACATTATGAATATATAGGCCTAGGCTATATACCATGTCATAGCTAAAAATGACTAAAATAAATTGAAAATAAATCATCGTACCATTAGCATCATCATAATACTTTTTCAAAAATGAAAAGACCTCTTCTCTGAGTATATTATACACCACAAAGTATCCCCAAACAAAATCTTCTAATCTAAAACATATATACTTCGATAAGGTACATACAACTTGTACAGATATAATTTCGTCATTGAAATATAATAAAGATGATAACAAATAACATTCACCTGGCTGCCCAAATATGTGAAGACGGAATATATCAATTGATATAATTTACATATATCGGTTTACATATTATACATACCGTCTCAATACATTCTTAATACCTATACTCGATCCTATTATACGCATGCCTGCTCCCGGCTAACATTGAAATGAGATTAGGAAAGCGTCAAAGCAAAATCATTAACATTACAAGTCATGTACTCCAAAAATGTTCGAAATGAATATTTGATCTACGAAGTTGATAGAATATATATAATATCGGTATATATAAACCTATGTAACCTGTTTATGAACCTCGTCACATCACCCCTACATTAATAATAATAATAATAATATTCCACTTTTATTAAGCGCTAAAAACATCTACGACGTCTCTAAGCGCTTTACAAATATGCTATTGCCCCGGTCATTACTAAGCAAGTAATAAAATCATGACAGTTTCTCTTCTTTTCTTCTCGTTCTTCTTCCCCTCTTCCTCCTTCTCCTTTCTTTCATAAACTGTACATCGTTGATAGTAGTTCTCAACCCAACCGCCAGCTAGCTGCATGGTTCAAACAGAATTGATAGCGAAGATTACTGTTTACGATATAATTTTATACAAGGGGGGGTACTTAAATTTGCATGATTATTTAATAAATTCAAAAAATGCATCTCCTTCATATCTTTTGTAACTGTTCTTCGATAAAAAGCTACCAACTAAACTCGAAGATACAACGACCAGAGAATAATTACATATTCTGTCTCCTTTGTATTACATGCATTAATACAATTTGTCTTCTTCGATAAGCTCACAGTCCTGCTCCACAGGTACTCTGTAATAAAAGTCTGGCAGATGTTACTGGGTAAATCGAAGTTGGGCAAATTTTGTCCCATAATTGGGTTATATTCTCCCAACCATTTACTATATGAAGTTACCTATTAAAGGTAAAAATAGGTTGGGTAGATGTTACTTGGCAAATAGATGTTGGGCGAATGTCGTCTAATAATTGGGTTATGTCCTACCAACCATGAAATAATGTTATTGGGCAAATTCAAGTTGGGCCATTTTTGTCCAACATTTGGGTTATTTTCTCCCGAACATTTACTACAATAATTGTATACACTGTCGCTCATAACGTTGGAATATTAGTTTTTTACCCCAATTTATGAAATTATTTTGACAATGACTTATTCCTAATAGATCTAGATAATAGTACACATTCTCAGATTTTATTGAATATGAATTTGCCAGTATTTGTTCAGTGTGACTGCTAAAGCATGTGTATGCTAATATGCTTATCAACTAGGGGACCTACGCCCTTAAGTCATAAATGACAGTAATGAGGATTAATGCCCCACAAAAGGGCACTAATATAGCTCATCGACACGGTTTTGATCCTGGGGCCTCACAGTTACGAGGCCATTGCTTTGTCACTGAACCACGACTGTACGCAGCGGGGGCTAGGGTAGGGGGCAGTTCCCACAAATAAAAAAAAGAAAAAGAAAATGCAATCAATTATCAATAATAATAATAATTCATTGCATTTTACCCTGGTCCCCAACAGAAAAAAATCTTCTATGTGCCCATGCCTTGAGCCATAATGCATGGTCGTACAGAGGATTTTTTTTTGAAAAAGTATGTAAAACTATAGAACAATGGAAATCACTACAAATATTGCCAATTTGGTTATCAGTTTGTGACGCCATGTCCTCACTATATTGCTTTATATAGTTTAATCCCATTAATTTATCTTTTTATCCCCCAAAACTTGATTTCGCCCATTCCTTTGCCCAGGTTATATGATTTGTATCATAATGCGTGCATGACATTGTACAAAATCTTTTATAAACTTTGAAGAATTAATGCTATTTTCTGAATATTGTATATTCATATTTATTGATTTTTATCTAAGTAGTTTATCAAAAGTCACATTTTTCATGATTTAACTGAAAAAAATTACTCTACATTAGTGCATCCACACAAAAACATGTTAATATTACTCTAACTTGGATGCTGGTGTGAAGAAATAAGATTCTCAGGGGGGAAATAGGAATTTTATATTATCAATATAAATAAAATAATTAGTGGATAGTGAGGACATGACGTCACAGACTCATGAGTGAATTTCTAATTTGTCTTGTGATTTTCATTGTTCCATGGTTTTACAGACTTATTCTTAAATTCATATCTTTCTTATTAGTTATCCGATTTTGCTCAAACTTTTTTTGATTGGTTTGTCTGATTTTTCTGCTTCTATTGAAAGTAAGTTATTTTTGGAGTGGACTCCCTTGGCGACTTTAACAACTCGCTTTCTCGCCTTCTTGGCCCCAACAAGGCGCCTTGGCGAGTTAAACAAGTCGGCTTCTCTCTGCACGTTGAAGCTTCCGTATAATGCAGATATTTAAATCACTATAGATATTTTTAAAAAGATTATAATTAAGAAGTACTTTATTATTAAAATGAAGGGCCAACAGAAACTGCTTAAATAGTGGACATTGTGTATCGTCATGTAACATGCTTGTCGTATTGTCTCAAACCAAATCCATATCACCAAGTGAATTGCCAATACACTTACACTTTAGCCGGGCTATTGGGGACAATCATGACGATGTATTTATTATGTTCGATCCAAATAAGGGAAATGGAGTATAATCACACACTTACCTGATAGGTTGATGGAAATGAACTCAACATCAATTGTTGTAGTTCTAGGCCTGGTGTAAGCCTTCGACCCTATAACAGCAAACCACATCTCATTGGTATCTAAATAGAAAGCACCACCGTCATCCCTATATCCGTAGATATTTGCGATGACAGACTGCAGGTCAGACGGGTCGTTACCTATCCCTATTTGGACTTTATCATTATGATGGTTATACCAATCTCGGAAAACAACTCGAAATCCCAGCATAGCGTTTGTTTGTAGCAAGATTGCATTGTACAGCCGGCTGGTGGGGAAGGACGTTTTATTAATGAAATATGATTCGTCCTCCTCCAGATATGTTGATGAAAAATCTATAAGAAAAGATTTTGAAAAGACAACAAAAAGATAAATTAATTTAAAAAAACCCAGAAAAGAACAGGAAAACAAGTGATTTTCACATCCGTATACAGATGATTCACATCGGTTCTTCAACTGAGATTGGTAGGATAAGCTTCATCACCTTGCACTGACGCCACATCGCCACAACTATAGGCGTTATGGCGTGCGCCTGTAATCAAGCTAACAGTGGAAGTTACAAACTGATTCAGCCGAGGACGTAAGTTCGAAACTGAGTCACGTCTTTCGGATGGTGACGTTTAAAAGAAAAGTCCACTCGAAAAACAACTCACTTTCAGTAAAAGCAGAAAAATCAAACAAACCAATCAAAAAAAGTTTGGGCAAAATCGGATAACTAATCAAAAAGTTATGAATTTTTGAAAAAGTATGTACAACTATGGAACAATGAGAATCACAACACAAATTGCCAGGATGGTTATCAGTTTGTGACGCCATGTCCTCACTATTTATCAATTGCTCTAAATGGTTTAATCCCATTAATTTCCCTTTTTATTCCCCAAAACTTGTTTCCCCATGCTTTTGCCCAGGTTATATGATTCGTATCATATTGCGTGCATGACATTTCATAAAATCTTTTATGAACTTTGAAGAATTTATTCATTTTTTAAATATTGTATATTCATAATTATTGATTTTTATATAAATACTTTATCAAAATTCACATTTTTCATGATTTAACTTTAAAAAAATTACTTTATATTAGTGCATCCACACAAAACATATTACTATTAATCTAACTTGGATTCTGGTGTGAAGAATTAAGATTCTTAAGGAGAAAATAGGAAATTTATATCATCAATATAATTTTAAAAATCAGTGGAAAATGTGGACATGACGTCACAGACTCATGAGTGAGTTGCCAATTTGTCTAGTGATGTAGTGAATCACAGTGATGTAATTACTTATTCCTCTAAAAGATTTGTATCAATACATGTTGTGTGCATCCTCTTACACAGGTAGTCATACTGCGAGAGTATTTTGATATTTTGGTTTACACAACAAATGCTTTTAACCCTAATAAGGCTGGGGTCCATTATGCCCCCCCCCCCCCACGATTTCTCTGATTGTTCGTGAACGCATCCGGATGGCGCCCCGCCGATCGCAGACTTTTTTCTTTCCAGTCTTGTGCATCTTTTAAAACAATTTTTTTGAAAATCGTACCTACGGTTACAAAGTCACGTGACCTTTTGTCTCTGCATGTCAGCCCGAAAATCGCTCATTTTCGTGATTTGTGTACAAAACATATGGAAATGTCATTTTTTTCCTAAAAAAAAAATAAAACATTGGTTATTGGGTCTTGTTTAAAGTTTAGGTGTTTGTTTTGGGATTCAAAACAGTTAAGTTGTAGTTAGAAATGAATTAAAACAACAAAAACAACAAAAACAATGAAATACATAAGTTAAAAAACAATGAAATACATAAGAAATTATCAAAACAAGAGATAACATAAGGAATAACCTAACTCTTCCAATTTTTGTTGTATTATTGTTTCAAATGGTCTAACGAATACGTGTAGTGGAAACGAATGCTTGAATATAAAGAATATATGAATTATGGGTAAGAAGATGAATTTTATGACCTTATTTGCATAAATTACCATAAATATGAAAATTAGTGAATTTTTCTAAAAATAAATTTATCATAGTATTTTATAAACTTCACTTGACATGCGTGCAAATTTTCGCGGCGATCGGCCGTTTAACGGCCGAGATCTTAAGGCCCCCCCCCCCCCCGGCCATGTTAAGACCTCAAATACCCTGGCCTTTATAGGTTTAAAGAAAATGCAACCCCATATTACAAATGAATGCAGTTAAGTTCAGGCTAATTATATTACATAATGAATGTAGCAATATTATTAATTTCAATACATTTACTTAATATTCAACATCTATTAAAAAAAATATTACATTACTTTATACATTATATATGCAATATATGTCCTTTCCCCTATCCTTGTATTAGTTGAAATTATCATTATTTTAAAAGATCAAGTTAGGCCAGGCATATTCTATGATACATGATAAACCATGAACATTTTTTAATAGTGGACCCCTTTTAGTTGTTTTGGTTAAAGTCATTTAAAAGTATTACATTGTACATAAGAATTGCTCCTCAATTCTTACTTTTTATCGAAATTTTCCATACTAAACAGATAAAGTTATGTCAGGCATACATTATCATTTCCTGTGGTTCATGATGTTGTCTAATAAATAGTTACCCCCCCCCCCCCACCCTCTTTACTTTATTTATATTGTTTCATACTCATGTAAAAGTCACAAAATGCAATTTTTTAATAACGAAATTTTAACGGATAGGATTTCCGGTTGTTTAGGTTTGGGAAGCTGTAATTCATTTAGGCAACCAAGCTGGACCCTTGTGACATTTTAATTAATGTTAAAGGATATGTCATATAATTATGTTCGCTGTTAATTTTAGTATATGATTCGATGTAATCAATTTAAGCTAATTTTAATAGGGGCATTTCCCCCCTTGGATGGATGAAAAAATGGACAAAGTTTGTATAGAAAACTGGCCTTTCCCGATACATATTATACAGACATGTTTATACGACTACATAATAATTACAAAATCTACCCCTGGAATTACCCCCCCCCCCCCCTCCCTAAAGGGGACAAAAAACACCCCTGTTCGTTAAAGGGGAATTCTACCCTAATAATAAGTTGGTTTTAATCAAGAATATTTTTTTACGGGGGGTAATCGTCCTCGAGGGGGGGGGGTTATTGTACAAGGGGTTAATATTCAAGGGAGGGGGGGGTAATTGTCCTCGAAGGGTAAATGTGTCATAGGAGGGTATAATAGGGGGAGATTGACCTGGGGGTGCTTGTCCTCGGGGGGGGGGATAATTTTCCGGAGGTAATTTTCCGGGAGGTTATTGTCTTGGGGGTAATTTTCCCGCTGGTAATTGGCCGGGGGTGATCGCCCAGGGAGTAATTGTCCTAGAACCATAAATATCAGTTGTTCTTTGACTTACTGCATGCTGATTCATCCTCGTAATGATCGCATTGGTAATATCCATCGCAAATGACAGTCGGTGACACGCTCATGTTGGAGCTTGAACATGCAAATAAGGCTGGTAGAAGATAGAAGATGGGGAGAATAAATAACATATGTGTAGCTCGTAATGCTTGGACATTTTACAATTTAATTTATTAGGTTTTCTTTGATTATTATTAGTAATTAGGCTCGTTTAGAAATTACCTTCTTTATATTATTATTTCCGATAAATCTGGAAACATGTTTTATCTTCATCAGTCGACCGGTGTTGAATGATTCTCGTTTTACAACTAGTAAGATACCAGTTATCATTGCTTCTTTACACCGAGCTTTAGATTTCCCCGATATATTAAAAGAAAATTAATTCAACACTCACTTGATAGGTCAATGGAAATGATTGTAACGTTCATTTCAAGCTTGGAGTATCTCGTCCCTCCTATGACAGCTAACCACATCACATCGGAATCTACATAGACATCATCTGGACTATGGTAAATGTCTCTATCGATAGTTTTGATAACAGACTGTATGTCAGACGGATCGTAACCTGTTCCTATTTGGACTCCAAAATCATGATCGCCATCATCATATTGAAACACAACTCGAAATCCATTTGATGCGTTTGTTTGTAGAATGCTTGCGTTATACAATCGTACTGCGGTGGTTCGTGAAAAGGAGATGAAATGTGATTCGCCTTCCTCAAGATATGTTGCTGAATAATCTGCAAGGCAAAACGAGACAAGAAAGAAAGAAATTGATTCTAAAAATCAAGAAAAGAAAAGAAAAACAAGTAACTTTTGCATCTGAAGATGATTCTTATCAGTTCTTCATTTAGAGATTGGTAGATAAGCTTCATCATCTTGCACTGACTACGGTAGGGGAGTTTCTCCCAAAATAAAATCCACTGTATTGTCCATACGATTTGACCCCTCTAAGTTACTCAAAACATCTGGGTCATTACTCAAAAAAAGTTGCCGATCTGACTGTATGTGTCAGAGCTCCCAAAACAGAGTTTCCTCCCATCTACCTCATTCACGAAAATTTGTTGGACAAAGAATGCACAAAGAAGACGAAAGACTTGATGAATGGCTGGTCGTCAACGAAACGGAGTTAAGTCTTTTGTCAACTGTTTGTTGCTACGGCCGGCAGCCAGTGAAAACGAATTTGTTTAATCAAATTGTGGAAATGCAAGCATTACTTTAAACAAGCAGAACTTTGTTTTTCCTGGCTCATTTTTCCGGATTGAGGTGTCATATAAAAGGGCAGAAAATGAACGTTCTAGAAATGTGATTTTCACTTTGAAGTTCAGATACCGCTCGCCAAATGACTGTCTGATACCCTCTTCTCAAAATGTTTTTAATCACTCATGAAATATGCATTATATGAGTTACATCAAATGAAAGAGGAGGATCTAACCTTTGCAGATATGTGTCATTTATTAGTTATAATTTGATTAAGTTATGAAAAACATCGATTATTCTCGGTTTCGTTTTTTCTGGGACGCACTTTATATGGCTTCATAGATCAACACCCTCTTTCCAACAATTCCTTGTTCGTGAACCTGTGACCTGTTTCATAAAACCTGTTATCAATAACAAGTTACAACAACTGTTATAAGCTATTGTAATCGTGGCATTTGATTGGCTGAGAGCAAATTTGTTATCAATAACATGTTTTATGAAACAAGCTAGCCCCTGTTGTAACTATTTATTAAAGGGGATTCGTTAAGTGGGATTTCTGCAAATTTGCCTAAGTTGTTGTCTATTTCAATATGGTAGTAGGCAGCGCAACATAATGCGTCAGAACCCGGGGATGTAGCCAAAGAGAATATAAGTTTAAAAACTAAGGAGGTATTATGTTACTTACTACATGATGATTCATCCTTATAATTGTCACAATTGTAAAATCCATCACAAACCAACGTCACTGACACGCTCATGTTCGATCCCGGACAAGGATATAAATCTAAAATAGAAAAGGACGATGCATATATGTTTTAGGGGTATTTACTTAGTTCTGATTATAAACATAATCTCTAAAACAATAAGACCATTGTAACACCATAATCTGTGTTCCTTTATAATGACCATTGATATCAACTGATTCATCTTCTGTTGTATTTGATCTTAAACATAGACTATTGCATAATAATTATTATGCTCTTTTGTATTAATAGCTTTAATACTTGTTAATGGAAGGGAGCCCGACTTAATAGTTATGTTACAAAAGGATGTTAATATTGGTGAGAGGTAGGACACCCATGTTTATTAGAGATTCATGTCCGCAAATCTTGAATCGTAGTTTTTTAACCTACGACGGAGTACAGGCACTTCTTCAGCTTGTTGGGTAGTTTTTGTCAAAAGTTGGTGGAAAATCGGACAGCCTCCCCACGTCATATTTTACATCTAGTGATATAACTGTATAACAATAAAGCCAAAATCTAAATGAATACAGTTTGATCATTTATACGTCACTTCTGTTACCTCGAGTAATAATTGTATTATCACAAGGAATTGAACAGTAAATCCGATTGATGCAATTATACTCACTCAGCAAATCAATGGCAGTAACACTAATACCCATACGGATAAGACTGTCTGGCCACCCTCCTATGGCAGCAAACCACATCTCATTGGTATCTACATAGATATCATCAGGAAGGTAGGGTGGATATCCATGGAAAGTTGTGATGACAGACTGTGAGTCAGACGGATCGTTACCTGTGCCTATCAGAAGTTCATCATTATCCCGACGGAGCTCCATATCTTGAAACCCAACTCGAAATCCTTTGGTAGCGTTTGTTTGTAGCAAGGTTGCGTTATACAATCGAATGATAGCGGCGTATGCAGGGCGATGTCTCATCTCCCTGATGTATGGTACAGAGATGAAATGTGATTCGCCTTCCGGAAGATAAGTTGCTGAATAATCTGTTAGAAATTTGTGTTCAATAAATTTGAAATAATCAAGAAATGAAAATTTTAAAAAAAGTAATTTTCGCATCTGTAGATGATTCTTATCAGTTCTTCAACTAGAGATGAATAGATAAGCTTCATCATGTAGCACTGACTAGTTTTGGAGCCTCTCCCGGAAAACCTATATTATACATACGATTTGACTCACTTAAAGCCACACTTGTAGCTACTTGCTCCCTCTACCGTGTGAGTCAAAAAAAGGTTTACACTTAGAAAATTGCTAATTATTAAAAAAATCATCTATGAACAGTAGATTATTATGCATCTCATGAAAGAGTGTGTTATCCCAAATCACTTGGTACCATTTTTGTGTGGTATGTGTTCACGCTTGGATGAACAGGTGGCATTGTTTGCGAGAGTGCAAAAATCGACTTGCGCCAAAGTGATGCCTTCAGTATGTATTATGTTGGGATTAGCGGGAGAGAATGGATTGAATGTATCAAATGAAATGCATTGCATTTTTTTTTTTTGCAAAGGGCAAAGTCACACACACCCACACACACGCGCACACATGTTCGTTGATATTTGATATTCGATATGTGTGGCATGATTAATTTTGTTAGGGGTGTTATTTGGATCTGCAAAGACCGAATTAAAACCCAAATCCCAATTGTTTTATTCAAACATCACATAGGCAACTTTGGCGCAAGTCGATTTTTGCACTCTCGCAAACAATGTCTCCTGTTCATCCAAGCGTGAACACATACCACACAAAAATGGTACCAAATGATTTGGGATAAAACACTCTTTCATAAGACATATAACAGTTTAATGTAATAATTAGCAATCTTCTAAGTGTAAACTTTTTTTTGACTCACACTGTATATAGAAAACAATAGCTAAGCGGTGCCTATTGGTCTCCTTGTCCATGACCCCCTTTTTCTTATGTTAATTGCGAGCTGAGTTGATGAGATAACCACCTGTTAGTGACCTCGCTCGGTGGTCTAATCCCTCATAGCCAAACTAGTCCAGGTGGCCTTTAAAGTTAACTAGACTAATAGTTGGTGACCTGAACGTATCTGTCAGAGCTCAGTGCCAAAACCGAGCATGAAATCGAGTCGATTTCAACCCATCTACCTTACGCACGAAATTTCGTTGGTAGAAATTATGACTGGATATTACGAACACGAGAAAGATCAAAAATTATACAGGGACTGGTTTGTATCGGACGCACCTTAAAGAATGAGAGCATTTCTCTCTAAAAATCATATTGACATAATTTATATAGGAAACATTCTCTTTTCATTACAATATATAAATCCTGGTATGCAGACATACGACTTCAGTTTGACAAATTTGTTTGCTTAGACCCGACTTCATGAGGTCTGTTGAGGTACTTTAGTGGGGGGGGGGGGGGGGTTACCCGACAGCTTCACAAAGTCTGCCACATATTTTATCAATGACTTAGATGATCTAAATAACGTTGAGGGGTCGAATAATTATTGTGAAATGATTGACTATTCAGTCTTTGGCTTAATTCCACCAAGTCGTGAAAAGTCGTTGGAACAAAATGATTGGGTACCCTAATAGGCCGCGGGAGCACAAAAGTCCCCGAGACAGACGAACAAGTTTGTTTTTAAAAGAATTAAGAGCATTTACCGTAAAAATGCAAGACACTGACGAATTTCACAATTTCATAAAATTGTAGAATGTGAAAGAATGCGAAATAAACGGCTCCATATTTCCGCGCCCGCATTTCAACCGTATTCGGACACCTACCCCCTGGACATCCACCCCCGGATAACCACCCCAGATAACTAACCCCTAGGACAACTACCCCCTATATATAAGACAACTTCCCCTAGGGCAACCACCCTCTAGGACGACTACCCCCAGGACAACTACCCCCGGACGACTACCCTCAGACAACCATTTCAACAATTACGTATTTCTGTACATGGGCCATGTTGCATACAACTTGTTAGGGGTTTCAGGTTACTTGTATAGCTACTAAAATCGTTGCATTTGATTTGCTGAGAAACAATCAGCCTTTTCACACACAGCTAAAATTCATCGTTTCTAGAGATGATTAGAATCACTCAACAGTTTTAAACATGTTTATAGACAAAATTTCCCAGTGTGAACATCGTTTATACGATGTTGGGATAGATACGAAGTCGCGATCCTAAAAGCAGGCTGCAGATACGAAGTTCGTATCTAGAGAGCTTGACATTTTGTGTGTGAAAGGAAATTCGTGTTTAAACGTGTTTAAACTGGATGGAGCGTGCGCTTTGATTGATATGACATGACCTTCAATGCGCAATGGCACTACTGCGCATTTTACGAGCAGTAGTTAATCACGAAACTATTAACGATCGCAACGAAATTTCTGTGTGTGAAAGGCTCGTGATTAGTTTAAACACGTTTCAAACACGTTTATACTAATCATGTTTATAGAATTTTAGCTGTGTGTGAAAAGGCTGATTGTTTCATAAAACGTTAGAATTAGATATTACAGACCCTGATGTAACTAATAAGGTATATGCTAATTGGGATTTCTGCAAATTTGCCTGAGTTGTAGTCTATATCATGTATAAGTTATTGGACAATGGAACATAATGCGCCAGCACACAGGGATGTAGCCAAAAAGAATATCAGTATAAAAAACTAAAGAGGTATTCCGTTACTTACTACATATTGATTCATCCTTATAATTGTCACAGTTGTAAGATCCATCGCAAACCAACGTCACTGACACGCTCATGTTCGATCCCGGACAAGGATATAAATCTAAAACAGAAAAGGACGATGTGTGTTTTAGTAGTATTCACTTAGTTCTGATTATAAACATAATCTCTAACATAATAAGACCACAGTTTGCGCTCCTTTATAATGACCATTGATATCAATTGATCCATTTTTTGTTATAATTGATCTTACACATAGACTATTGCATAATGCTCTTTTGTGTTAATAGTCTTAATACTTTTAAATGGAAGGGAGCCCGACTAATAGTAACGTTACAAAAGGCTGTTAATATTGGGGGAGGTAAGACACCCGTTTTTATTAGAGATTGATGTCCGCAAATCTTAAATTGTAGTTTTAACATACAGCGGAGTATGGGCTTTTGTTAAGCTTGGTGGGAAATTTCTTTTCGGGCAGCATCCCCACGTCATATTCTACATCTAGTGATGTCACTGTCTAACAATATAGCCAGAATCGAAATAAATACAGTTTTATCACCGCATTTATGTCACTTCTGTTACATCGAGTAATTTTATTTGGAAAAAAGCCACAAGAAATTGAACAGTAAATCCGATAGATGCAATTATACTCACTCAGCAAATCAATCGCAGTAACACTAATACCCATAAGGATACGACTGTTTTGACGCCCTCCTATGACAGCAACCCACATCTCATTGGTATCTAGTACATAGATATCATCACGATTGTCGTATGTATCTCCAGGGATAGTTGTGATGACAGACTGTATGTCAGATGGGTCGTTGCCTGTCCCTATTAGGACTTCATCATCATGATTAAAGAGCAACATATGATAAAACTGAACTCGAAATCCACTCGTAGCGTTTGTTTGTAGCAAGGTTGCGTTATACAATCGTATTTTTGTGGAGTCTGGTAAGAAGATGAGATGTGATTCGCCGTCCGGAAGATAAGTTGCTGAATAACCTGTCAGACAATTTTTTTTTCAACGAATTAAAAAAAAAATAGAAATGAAAATAAAATCAAGTCGATTTCAACCCATCTACCTTACGCACGAAATTTCGTTGGTAGAAAGTATCACTGGACATTATACAAACACGAGAAAGTTCAACAATTAAACAGGGATTGATTAATATCGGGTGCACCTTACAGAATGAAAGCAATTACCCCTAAAAATCATATTGACACAACTCATATCGGAAACATATTCTCTTTTCATTACAAAATATAAGTCTTGCATATGCAGACATATGGCTTCATAATTATTAACAAAAATGTTTGCTAAGAACCGACTTCACGAGGTTAAGTACGGTAATTTAAATCGATGGTTACACTCAGACTGCCACATGTTGTATCAATGACTTACACGTTGAGGAGAAGAACTGGATGAGTGAAATGATTGACTATCCAGGTCTTTGGCTTAATTTTACCAAGTTGTGAAAAGTCGTTGGAACAAAATAATGGGATACCCTAATAGGCCGGGAGCACAAAAGTCCCCGAGACAGACAAAACAACTATGTCTTCAACAATAAAACTTGTTATCAGTAACAAGTTACAATATCTTTTATGATATACTGAAATAGCGACATTTGATTGGGTGATAGCAAATCTTTTTTAAAAAAACCGTTAGAATTAGTTTTAATTAACAAATTGTTCTGAAACAGACACCTGATGTAACTAATGAGGGGTATGCTAATTGGGATTTCTGCAAATTTCTGCAATGTAGTCCTTATCACGTTTATGGTAGAACATAATGCGTTGTAACACGGGGATGTAGCCGAAAAGAGTATCAGTATAAAAACTAAGGGGATATTCTGTTACTTACGACATGTTGATTCATCCTCGTAGTTGTCGCAGTTGTAAAATCCATCGCAAACCTTCGTTATTGGCACCGTCATATTTGATCTCGAACAAGGAAAGACATCTAAAACCATAAAGAATTATGAAATTAGACGTCCAACACTCTTTCTACTTTAAAATTGGGCTCAAAGATAAAGGTGAGTTTTGGTAATGCGATTGTATTGTGAAGGAAAAGGTGTGGAATGGATCAGAAAAAGTTGATCATGTAGCATGTAAGTATTTGTGTGCGCTGTAAGGTTCTGGAGTCAGCAAAATCATAATAAATTTGGCCCAGTCTTGGTAAAGTAACAAGCACTGTACAAAGAAAGATGTTTATGGGACTGTCGGGGATAGTACTACCCAGGCGCGGATCCAGGGGGGGCCGAGCGGGCCTTGGCCCCCCCCCCCCCCGCAAAAAAAAAAAAAAAAAAAAAAGAGAGAAAAAAGGAAAAGAAGGGAAAGGGAAAGAAAGAAGAGGAAGAAGAAAAGAAAAGGGGGAAGAAGGAGATCGGGGGGCCGAAAGGGCCTTGCCTCCAAAGCTGTTGACCCCCCCCCCCCCCTCCCCCAATCAAAAAAAATAAGAGAGAAGGAAGGAAAGGGAAAGAAAAATGGAAAAGAGGAGATACTGGCGTACTGATACTGATTGCTCATCTGACCGTGATTAAATGCCTAAAACCCCAAAGCTTTCGGGGGCTCTGCCCCCTGGATTCCACCTGGGGCCCTACGGCGGGCCCTTAGATACTCATCTGACGGTAATTCAATGCCTAAAACCCCTCTTTTGGAGGGCTCCGCCCCCTGGACCCTACGCCAAATAGTGACCTTCCAGTGTAACAAAATTATTTTCGAGAACGGTACAACGAATCGTCTTCTTTCTCTAATGATTTAATGAAAATTAAAAGCTTCCGAGCTTCGCGCGGGAGGGGGAAACCTGAATTCAGACGAGGATTTAGAGTCGAGAACTGTACAGCCAACCGTCTTATTTCTCTCATAATCTTATGAAACTTAAAAACTTCCGCGCTTCGCGCGGGAGGGGGGGGGGAGACCTGAATTCAGACGAGGATTAAGAGTCGAGAACTGTACAGCCAATCGTCTTCTTTCTCTCATAATCTTATGAAACTTAAAAGCTTCCGCGCTTCGCGTGGGAGGGGGGGGGGGACCTGAATTCAGACGAGGATTAAGAGTCGAGAACTGTACAGCCAATCGTCTTCTTTCTCTCATAATCTTATGAAACTTAAAAGCTTCCGCCCTTCGCGTGGGAGGGGGGGACCTGAATTCAGACGAGGATTAAGAGTCGAGAACTGTACAGCCAATCGTCTTCTTTCTCTCACAATCTTATGAAACTTAAAAGCTTCCGCGCTTCGCACGGGAGGAGAGGGGGGGGACCTGAATTCAGACAAGGATTAAGAGTCGAGAACTCTACAACGAATCGTCTTCTTTCTTTAATAGTTTAATGAAACGTCAAAGCTTCCGCGCTTCGCGCAGGAGGGAGAGGGGGTGACTGAATTTAGACGAGGATTAAGAGTCGAGAACTTTACAACGAATCGTCTTCTTTCTCTAATAATTTAATAAATCGTAAAATTTTCCGCGCTTCGCCCTGGAGGGGAAAAACTAAATTCATACGAGGATTAAGAGTCGAGAACGGTACAACGAATCGTCTTCTTTCTTCAATAGTTTAATGAAACGTCAAAGCTTCCGTGCTTCAAGCAGGAGGGGGAGGGGGGGGCTGAATTTAGACAGGGATTAAGAGTCACCATTACGTACCAATATTTGGCTCGCATAATTTGAAATTTGGGCCCCCCCCCCCCTAAGAAATCCTGGATCCGCGCCTGGTACTACCTGATTTTCTTATCTTTCTATGCTCATTACTCAGCCAATATACATTTCTTCCAAAATTGTTTGGCACATGACATTTATTTGTAATCTTTTTTTTACAAATCATGCCAAACAAATAATCAAACTGTGCCACATTATAATGTACCATGGCACCATGAAATTGTGTGATCTAATGTAAGTTAACATTTAATATTTATTTAATCTTAAGTATGTTTAAGTACTTTATCTATAGATGGATATGTTGTGCTTTATAAATATTGTTATTATTATCGATATGTTATTATTATTTACTCGCTTCTATTTATAACTATACACTTTTTCTTCATATTATATTAGTGGATTATATAGTAGACAGTGATAGATGAACAGTTATATCTCCCTCCCAAAACAAAAAATTAATAAAAAAATCTAGGCCTAGAAACATTGATCAACAAATAAATTCGTAACCGGTATACATTTGTTCAATGTTACTTACCCCCAACTGCAATGTGGATGAGGGATGTCATCCAAAGAATGAGGAGAAGCTGGACAACTGAGTGGGTTTTTCCGAAACACTTCTTCATTTTCATTCCGTTCATGCCACTGGGATTAAAATAGAAGACTGATATTGTAATACGATGCAAATATATCTAATAGAATAGTGATAATGACAATAAAAATAGTATTAATAATTATAATGATAATGATATAATGATAATGATGATAACAATTAGATTTATAAATATACCCGGGGGTCTCAGTCATGTAGAAACACTGTAAGCATGCGTGACCACAGGTTTTCCACACACCGCCTAAACGAGGATCTTTTATGAAGCCAAAGTGCACCCTAAATGAGGATGTGTCAAAATGTAATAATGTAATGTAAACTAATTTGATGGAGAAATTTGTAAACATAAATGTTTGTCAAGTACCTAAAAAGCTCTTTGTTCGATTCAGTATATAAACTTCACTCACTATATTTACAATGCCATACCCATTAATCATAATGAGAAATTAAATGGCAAGATAATAACACTAAACCAAATTAATTATTTCTTATGCTCCTTATTTTAGTCTGGAGAAAATTGTTTACATGTAAGACTATACATAACTTTTGTAGTTGAATACTGCCGATTAATTAATGGGCAAAAATTAAGTGGGAAGAAAAATTGTAAGCATGCTATGTTCAATTTGGAATGAAATGTCACAAAGCAGTTTCCTAGAAGAAAATAAATCGGTATGGACGACAAAAAAAAAAAACTCCTCAAAATGTTTAAAGATAAAGTTGAGTTCTGGTCATGTGATTGCATTGCGAAAGAAACGGTGTGGAATCTATCAGAAAAGGTTGATCATCAGTATTCGTGTGAATTGCAAGGTTCTGGAATCATCAAAATGATAAGAAATTTGGCCAAATCTTGGCAAAGTTACAAGCACTGTACGCAAAATGATGTATATGGGACTACACGAATACATGGCGAAAAAAATCCTACCCGGAATTTTACGATGTTTCATGTCATATTTAGAATATGAAGGCATTTGAAGAGCCATGCTTTTCAGGGAACATGTTTAATCTGATGTTCTTCCACCCTTGCATAATAACAATGATAACGCTCACAAATTATTTGTTACCTCTTCCCAGAACTCAACTTTCTCTTTAAGAGGGGATAGCACACAAATCGAAATTAAACTAAACTAGAGGGTTGCATGAGCGGCGCGGGACTTGAGGTCGGGTATCTGATATAAAGCACGCATGAATAAAAGGAACGGAACTAGAGGTTACATGAGCGGAATTATACAAGTAGGTCAGGTCTGTGATATAAATCATGCACACATAGCATAAATAAAAGGAGCTGAACTAGGGGTTGCATGAGCGGAAATAGAGGTCGGGTACCTGATATAAAGCACACATAAAATTAATGAAAGGAGCGGAACTGTAGGTTGCATGAGCGGAGCTATATAGGTCAGGTCTATGATATAAAGCATGCACACACAGCCTAAATAAAAGGAGCGGAACTTGAAGTTGCATGAGCGGAAATAGAGGTCGGGTATCTGATATAAAACACACATAAATTAAAAGAGCGGAACTAGAGGTTGCATGAGCGGAACTATAGTCGGGTTTGAAATATGAAGCACACATAAATCAGGCCCCGTGGAGTTTTTTTTTTAAGTGGGGGGGGGGGGCTAAAGTATTTTCGATCAAGTACAGCGTAGCGGCATGAGGCTCCGCCCGGCGCCCCCTGAACCTCAGGGGTTTGGGGCATTTAATTACGGTCAGATGAGCATATTTTGTTACCTTATTTATGACACTGACGAATCAGTCTATTAATGTCTTAATGTCAAATGGAATTGTAAGAAAATATTGGCAAGATCGAGTTAAACAGATATGAAAAGGAAAACCCATTTCTTCTTGTTTCCCCTTTCATTCTATTTCTTTTCTTTCTTTCCTATCTTTTTTTCGGGTCTTTCTTTTCATTCTCTTTCTTTTTTTTCTCTCCACTTTTGGGCGTGTAACTTTCCCCAACCCTCCCCCTTATCCCCACCACCACTGGTACGCCAGTGGGTCCCCCCCCCCAACTCCGGGGTCGAAAGGACCGCATGCGTGTTCCCTAAATCTCCGGTAAAGGGGTACTTTTTCGCGCGAAAAAGTCCGGCCCGCCATTGACTTTCACACCGGAGATAGGGGAGTGCTTTCAAATAGAGGGAACATGCATACGCGTACCCTAAATGGGGGGGGGGGTACAATGACATTCGGTTTTGGGTCTGTGAAACAGTGCAACGGTACCTTTTGGGCGGATGTTGCCCTCCCATCGACGGAAATGTTTATGTCAGCCATCGCTCATGTGACGAGAAAATGTTGGCCTTTGAAATAAATTCATTGCCCTATATTAACATTTTTTAAAGCGCAGGGTCACATTTTGTCATTGAACTTAATCCATTTACGCCTAAGCCTTCTTAACACTGAGAAACTTTAATTAAATTATATTCTATACTTTTTTTTATTAAGTGTGTGTGTGTGTGGGGGGTGAGGGGGGGGGGGGCTCGAGTTAGAATCTGTAGTGTTACTTAAGAAACTCTTAGAGTTATAGGCTACTAGATTCATGTCTCCCTTATTCGGTCTTGGGTATTATTATTTGAGGTAGACATTCTAGACATCAATGTTTCTCCTAGTAATCTTTTTTTTTTTTTTTTAATCCTTTTTTGTTTCAAATTACTCTTTTTGGCCATCTGGGTTCCCCTTTTCTGTATTGCTAGGTTGCCCCCCGCACCTTACCATGGGGCCCTAAAGAGAACCTCTGGATGCTCAGCTGACCGTTATAAAATGCCTAAAACCCCTGAGCTTCACGGGGATCAGCCCCTGGACCCCACGCCAATAAGTGACCTGCCAGTGTCACAAATAAGGTTTCTCAATATGCCTATATGACAGTAATTTAATGCCTAAAGTCCCTAAGCTTCCAGAGGCTCCCCCCCCCCCTTGACCCCCGCCGGGGCAAAGCCCATGTACCCCCACGCCAATAAATGCTCCACTTGCTTCGCTCGCCTACGCTCTACCTGATCGTTAATACTCTACTTTGAAAAACGTTCCGCGGGGCTTGCATGTAACATCTAAGAGTGGTGGTGATGCAGATTTTTCCTCCCCCCCCCCCAAAGTTTTTGCTCATTACGCCACTGCCACTGAATTTGAGCCCCCTGAAATTTTCTCCCCCCCCCCCCCCCCATCTCAAACTGCTTTCGGCGCGTCTGGTAATAATAAATCATAATATCAATAATGATGATAATAATAATAATATTGATAATGATGATAATAATAACAATTTTGATACTGATAACAATAATGTTAATATCAATAACAATAATAATAGTAGCTACGTTAATAGTTTCACACGAGATTCGTCCTGATGGTAAAGCTTGGAAGACCAAAGTGGCTGTTGTTACTTTCATACAGTAACTTGAAATCCATTGTTTTTTCACAAAAACATCAACATTGATTATGGCAAGGAAACTTGTCAATGAAAACAGTATCATATCATGTTAATTTTCAATGTCCGATCTTCAACTAACCTTAAGTATTACATTATTTCTTATATACATTTCAAATAAACTTGGAGCATTGGATTCTCTAAGTATATGATTATAAAACAATGAAAACATCAGTGGTTGTTTCATAACATAAGAATATATTTTGAAATACTAGAAGTGATCATTTTGCAGTAAAATGAATGAAATGATAATATAACTAATTTAAATCTGACGACATACCTTAATACCTTTGGTCTGCAAGTGGATTTGTAACGAATCGTAAAGATGAGTTCCCCTTTCAACACCACAGCTTGTGACTGGCAGGTGCAGTAGCAAGAGATGCAATATATTATGAATATTGGGAAATTGCTGAATGCGTACTGCATGAACGGACCTTTACTTTTGCACAACTACCGGTACAGCAACGCTTAGCTGTTTAAGATGGCAGTGGCGTACCCGTGGAAGAGGTGGCCGGGGGAGTGGGGGGGGGGGGGGGCAGCTCCCATTACAAGCAACGTTGGGGAAACTCAGAAAGAAAGGGGGTATTTGAGAAAAAAAAGTGACAAACCTGACAAAATGGGAACACAAATTTGGCAAAATCAAGAAGGAAATAAAAAGAATCACGAAGGGACATTAAACAAAAAGGAATTCCGTGGCATGCCCGGCTAAAAGGTAGGGTTGCCTACTTATGGTACGCCATTGGATAATGGGCAGCGCGGTATGAAAACTCTAACCCATACCTTGCAATATTTGTTTTCCCCTTTTCTCTGTCTTTTTCTTTATTTTCTCTTTTTCCCTTTTTTGTTGGTAGCCGCCAAGGGGGGGGGGGCACGGGCCCGCTGTGCCCCCCCCCCCCCGCAAGAATCCGCACCTGGGCTTCCATTACCTTTTCTATTTCATCCGACACACACACACACTCTCTCTCTCTCTTTCTCTCTTCTCTCTTCTCTCTCTTTCTCCCGACCCCACTCTTTTCTCTCTCTTCCCTCTCTCTAGCTATCTAAATTTCTCTTCCCCCCCCCCCTCCCTCTCTCTCACACTCCCCCTTCGCTCCTCTCATTTATTCCTCTCTTTCTTCCTGATGACTCATATAAAAGGGAGCATACTAAACAAAGATTATCCTTGCTTTTATAATAACAAAATGTTATTTTTGGGACAATTAACACAATAATGACAATAAAGTTTTGACTGTAGTACAGACAAAATAGTCATAAAATGACTTGTTTTAATAAAAAAGTATCAAACTTTCAATTTCTTCAATAATATGTGCATCAAAGGATACATGTACTTCCAACTATGGTGTGCTAAAAGAAAGTCATTCATATGTTTAAACCTGTTCCATAAGTAATTTGATGTCTTAAAGCAGTTGGTCTGCACGTTGCTCCAAATGTTTTGGCAGCATCACAGTCTAAAAAGAACAAATCATTTTGAATGACAACCATTTGATGGCATAAAGTTTTATTTATACATGTTTATTTCTGTTTGCAATTTACTTGCAATTACATTAAAATCATGAGTACATAACTGCATCAGAGCAAATATATCAAGACAACAGAGTTTATTATAAGACTCTACAAAGAAATGTATGTTGATATCGTAGTCTAGTGGATAAGTCACTAGGCTTTTGATCACATGGTTTGTGTTTTGAGTCCCGCCACAGTATAAGCCTCAGATTACTGGCATGTATGCTATGTATAAAATAATACCAAAGGATATGAAAGACTTTTAAAAGAAGGGCACTAGTCACACAAAAAAAATATTCGCCCCGAGCCCCCGTGTATTTTTATCCCTATATTGCACACATAAACATAATTTGGTAGCAAAAATGGAATGCTAGAGATGTACCAGTATTATATCAACAAAATAGGATACTAAAAATATATACTTTGTCCAAATAAAGCACTGAAAACAACTTTAAAATCTTGAGAATCTACACAATTCCCTAATCTAGCATAGATTCTAGAATGAATGTTTTCTTCCTCCCAACATATATAGGCAGTTTTTGTAGAAAGTTTTGCTATTTCTGCTCATGTATCATGGTTTATCTTTATGACTATGAATCAAAGGGTATTGAGCCAAAACAGAAAATATTGATTTTTTTCCCCTCTCCTCAATGAAAAATGAGAACAAGGAAATTCATTCAGCCTTTAACCTTAGCTAGCCCTAAACAAGGGGGGAGGGGGGGGGGGGTTAAATACCTATTTTCAAGAGAATCTGTGTACATCACAGGACAATTCACATACCGGTATGCTCAAAATGTTATCAAACTTGGGAGACCGTATTTTTATTCCTGAGTGGAAAAGAAGGCAACATTTGAACGTGATAGCAATCTGAATAAGTATGACAAGACTGCTGTATGTGAAAGGTATGGATTAATACCCTGCCCCCCCCCCCACTCAGTGTTATTAGGGTACGCATATGTGTGTTCCCAGCGACCCCCCCCCCCCCCCCCCTTTTCAGCAAAAGTCCGGTGTGTAAAGTCAATACGGCTAGATATTTTTCTTTTGTTACGAGCCGGAGAGTTTGGGATCACGCATGGTATCCCTCCGTTCGGAGTGGGGGGGGGGGGGAGGGGGGAGGGGGGGATTAATACTAACACACATATGATACTATGGACCCCCATATTAAAGCCCACTGCACTTCTTATAGGTACTTGCGCCCTCTATATAGCAAATAATGCCTAACAGTGACCATTGGTCCCCCATTTCTTATGTGAATTGAGAGCTGATTTGATGAGATAACCACCTGACAGTGACCATGCAGGGAGGTCTTATCCTTCTGGTCAAACTAGTGCAGATAGGCTTTTAAAGCATATAAAAAAATACATATATTTCTTTTACTTTACAACAGAACGCCCACGCATACAGACCCAACACATTTAAATCCGTACCCCTCTGAACAAAAATTTAGTGTAAGGCCCTTTTTAAGGGTTGATATATCTATCACAAGACTGCCACAATAACGAGTAATTAACATGATCCATAGATTGGCACTTTGGTATAGATAAGAAGCATTAATTTTGTAAACAGTTTACAAAATACCTCTTATGACAGTACAAAACTATTAAGATTCTTTCAAACTGTATCAAAGTTAATCTCTAAGTATTACATCATTCCGTGATCCACTTATTGGCACTCTAATAAGACAGATATATTAGGTAGAATTGATTGCATTGATTTTTCATTACAAAAATATCTCATTAGAAAATATAAAACTATGGTATACTCTTATAAATGATAATATCATCAATCTCAATCAAGATCTCAATTTAAAACATCAATAATTCATCACATATTTTCTTTATACTATAGATCATATCTCACATATTTTCTTTATAATATACATCATATTCTTCATGATATACATCATATATCACATAAATTCTGTATAATATACATCATTTATCACATATATTCTTTATAATATACATCATATATCACATAAATTCTGTATAATATACATCATTTATCACATATATTCTTCATAATATACATCATATATCACATATATTCTTCATAATATACATCATTTATCACATATATTCTTTATAATATACATCATATATCACATAAATTCTGTATAATATACATCATTTATCACATATATTCTTGATAATATACATCATATATCACATATATTCTTTATAATATACATCATTTATCACATACATTCTGTATAATATACATCATATATCACATATATTCTTTATAATATACATCATATATCACATACATTCTTTATAATATACATCATTTTTCACATATATTCTTTATAATATACATCATTTATCACATTCTTTATAACATACATTTTTTTATAATATACATCATTTATCACATATATTCTATATAACATACATCAAATATTTCATATATTCTTTATAATATAGATACAAACAATGAAAGTATATGTACATCATTCTGATCACATTGCTTCCTTTTTTGCTCCCTCACTCTACCTGCATAAATATAATTCAAATTTCCTGTTTTTAGTAACCATATCTGTCTCTTTTCACTTATAATAACCTCTTGAGACCTGAGAAATCTTTCAAGGCCACCCACCCTTTCTAACAAGCTGAACTGGGTGAATGTCTTCAAAATGACTGAGAAGCAGACTGGTTATCGTTCTTGTTTTTAGTAACCATATCTGTCTCTTTTCACTTATGATTACCTCTTGATCGAGACCCGAGATATCTTTCAAGGCAACCCACCCTTTCTAACGAGCTGAACCGGGTGAATGTCTTCAAAATGACTGAGAAGCAGACTGGTTATCGTTCTTGTTTTTAGTAACCATATCTGTCTCTTTTCACTTATGATTACCTCTTGATCGAGACCCGAGATATCTTTCAAGGCAACCCACCCTTTCTAACGAGCTGAACCGGGTGAATGTCTTCAAAATGACTGAAAAGCAGACTGGTTATCATTCTTGTTTTCAGTAACCATATCCGTCTCTTTTCACTTATGATTACCTCTTGAGACCTGAGATATCTTTCAAGGCAGCCAACCCTTTCTAACAAGCTGAACTGGGTGAATGTCTTCAAAATAACTGAGAAGCAGACTGGTTAAATTTATAATCACAGTACCAATGATCGATTCACTAGTCTTGTAATAATTCCATTACCGGTATTCTATATTGTACAAGTGTCGTAGTCGAGTGGTTTAAGCACTTGACTTGAAATTCAAAGGTCGTGGTTCGATCCCTGACATGGCATTAATGTTCTTTGGCAAGGCGTTAATCTTCATTTGCCACACTCGACCCAGATGAGGTAAATGGGTAACTGGCTGGAATTAATTCCTTGAAATGCTGGAGCACTGTAATGGCAGCTAGGCTAAAGCCGGGGTAATAATCAGTGCGCCTAGATAGACGGCGCTGTAGAAATGCCTATTATGATTATTAAATATTATTATTAGACAAGTTTCTCGGTCAGCCTATTGCTCCCTATCATTTTCTCCTTCATTCATGCAAATTAAATTCATATTATTTCACACAAGGATGACTTCTTAAACATTGGGTTCCGTAGCTTTCCTGCAGATTGGCCATCCCAGTCAAGCGCCGATTCCTCTTCTCCTAGATCTGGTTTTGCTTCCCTCCAGGTAGATGGGATATCGGCTGGATTCACCTCCAAGAGGATCTGCAGAGAGACAGAAGGCAGAAAGAATACTGTCACAGGCATTATAGTGATGCATTTCCATGAAAAAGTATGACAATTGTTTTTTAATTTATCATGTGGGCACTGAGAATGAACATCCTGTATTGTAGTTTGATAGATTCCCCAGGGAGTGGAGATGGTGCACATTTTGAGTGAATCAATCTGAAGACCGGGGTAATATTTCATGTAAAGCACTTAGAAAGAGTATTTTGAATTAAGTGCTATTTAAATTCAGATTGTTATTAAGAAAAATCATTCTTATATATATCCAGGAGTTGGGGAGGGGGGGGGGGTTCATGATCCCAATGAGGGTTATTTATGATGTTTAGGGTGTAATTGACCATTATTAATGGGGGGAGGGAATCCTTTTTGATTCAATGAACAGTCTTGTTTAATACTAAAAGTAAGGACATGATATAGAACAAGAATTGCATTGGGAGGGAGGGGGGGGGGGGTGGTAAGGATTCAATCGCTTCTATTGGTAAATCAATAATGATAAATTAAAAAAAAGGCTCTACACTCACCAATTGAGATGCATCTGTGTAATCTGGTTCCGTGAGTTGCTTGATCTGCTCTTTGAGTTTCATCACATTGAACAGGGCTGGCCCGGGAGGAGTATCTCCTGATACATTCCTGTAAATTTAAAAAAAACAGTATCATTCACATTGTGTAATTTTCCTTCTGTAGCTTGGAGATATGTCAAGTGTGTGTAAAATTGTTGGTAATGTCCGTACATCTAGAAAAGTATTCTGAATTCTGCTTCAGTATTATTCACATAAATTGCAGAAATGGGTGTGTATATATATATATATATATATATAAACTCTACATCCTAACACATGGTTCTACCTAGATGCAAAATAATCTAATTTGCAACAAAATGCCGTTGTGGTTCCAGGCATATCTTTACATGCTATTATATTTTGTGAAGCTACCTATTAAAGTTTCTTTACAGCATTATAACAAATTTTACCAAGTTTGAATTTGGCATGTCAAAGACCTTAACATTACATTGTAGTTTTCTTGAAATTCATGCTATCTGAGGTTGAGATAACTCACATGACTTTAGCGAATCTTTGTAGAATCCTGTAGACGGCAATCACCAGTGCCAGGGAATCAGAGCGTGACACCTGTGAGGAGCCATCTCCAACTCTCAGATGTTCAACATCATCAGGCAGAGTCACTTTATGCTGACCAATCAGTTGCGCCCAAACATCATCCGTTGTATTGACCACACTGTCCACCAGATGAAAGTAAGTGGGCTTCTGAGGCAGGCTGTGGACTTGGACAGGCAGCATGAGAGGAGCGTCGGGATCGGAAACCCTCTGGCGCCAGATAGCGACGTGAAACTCCTCGACGCACTCTGGGCTCTCGATGTAGCTCGGAGACAGGATGGGAACAATACAGCTGGCCTGATCGAGAGACGTCAGATTGTCCTGCTTGTCGCCTGCTACGGCCTTCACAACGAGATCAGAGGCATTACTCTCCAGGAGCTTGCAGATGAAGTCTACAAACTTCTGATCATCACTGTGGTAACTGATCACGACATCGTCGTTGGTTATAGACCCGGCTTCACTCTCTTTGATCTTGGTGTCTGATTTGGAATGGTTTAAGACCCTGCTCAGTACGGGTGGGAATGGTACATCAGAGTTCAGTAATTTGTCAGCAGTACCAAACTCCTTCTGGATAGAAGCATGATGGAATGATGCCATCTCATCGTTGGGAGATGCACAAGGAATCTGGGAAGGAAACAATATATTCGTTTAATAATCATGTTTATATTGCACCAAAAATATTCACATTTTGCAATGATTGTTGTACAACAATTAAGCAAAATTATTCAGTGTAAATTCAAGGAAATTTACGAGGAGTTGCATATGTAATGTACAATTGTGTCATATCATCAAGATTCTTTTCTTTTCAGTACATCTCGTCTCCTGTCTCCAATAAGAATATATACAAATTATATGTTTTGACATTTGGCTAATCGTCTTTCCACAGAGCCCACTGTCCACTCTATCAAAAATGTAGAAATTGAAATGCATGCACCGCCTGTAATCTTGCAAATGATAACTATTTATCATGCTAGCTACAATGTTTATTGTTAATTTGTGATTACTCGAGAAACTATACCACTTGTTGATTTTCTTGCTTATATAATTGTTTTATATATGTATTGTGAAACAAAATGTTCATGTGTATGAATGAAGTTTACTAATACAATTCAAATTCAAATTCATGCATATGAGAGGCCCAAGTGAGGAAAAATGAAAACTTTGTTGGAAAAACAGAACTTACATTGTCCTCATCAAACATTTTGGTGAGAGCTTCACTTGTGTCCACCTTGCCTCCTGTTAGCCAGTGGACAACTGCTGGACATATGGTGTTGACAGTATCTTCAAAGACATCAGGTGTTCCCTTGACCATTGGGATGTGAGTGAACTCAGGTTGGATGGTGTCCAGATCTTCAAGAGAGATGGGGACCAGCTGTAGGTGCTGTTTGCCCTGTGGTGGAATGAAATTAAGATATGGCTTTGGTTAATTCTTTCTTGAACAAACGTGCCCTGAGATTCCCTGTGTACTCCATCTTCACTCCTTTGAGCCAATATATAAATGACATACGGTCTTCGAAGACATTTTATTCTCTTGAATATTACAATGGAAAATGAGTGAACTCAGGTTGGATGGTGTCCAGATCTTCAAGCCAGATATCAGTGCTATTTGTCATGCAAGTGGTATGAAATGGAGAGTTCTTTGATGAATTCTTTCCCCTCCCTTTTTTGTTTACTTGTACAAATGGCATGGTGACATCCTCAATGACATCGGTGTTCCCTTGACCACTGGGATGTACGTGAACTCAGGTTGGTGTCCCGGTTTACGAGACAAATGGGGTTAAGCTGTAGATGCTGTATACCCTGTAATGGTATGAAATCATGATACATGTACTTCTCTGCTTAAATCTTTCCTACATGTTGTTAGAGTTTCCGTCTCGTCCACAAACTCTTTCAGTTGCTAATCAACAGTTTTTCAGACATACGATCTTGACATTATCCTCACAGACATCAGGAGTTTCCTTGACCATTGGCATGTGAGAGAATGCAGATTCGGGGTTAATGGAACCCACCTCATCAACATCATTTCTTCTTTCTTTTGAACCACTTAACATCTAAGCTGATGGCCTTGACCACATCCTTAACAACATAATAAGTTTGTTTTACCAGTTGGTCGCAAGTGAACTAAGGATGGACGGAATCCACGTCTTCAGACGTATGGAATCAATTGGACATGCTGTTTGCCGTGAAAGATAATTTGTCTTAAAGTCAAACTGAATATAGAGCCCACTCAAGACCAACAACTCAGTCATCTTTATAGGCAAGTGAAAATGGTAAAACACCTCGACCTTACAGAGACCTCAATGGACACAAATCCTCTACAATTTAAAGACCAACCTGGCTTCAGGTCCTGCCTGCGTGCTTACCTTTTGAAAGTGCTTGGCCTGAGCAAGGGCAAATTCTTCCTGACACACAGCTGACTTGAGGTATGGTTCTGATATGAGAGCTAGCATGCAACGAGAGCCATCAATAGAGTGATAGAGGGTACGCTGCCAGGATTTCCCTATCAAAGACAAAACAACAGGGGGTGTTTCACAAAGATCCTAAGTCGAATTTATCTCTAAGTTGGACTTAACAATTATGGAAAGCCGTTAGCATCCTTGAAAATATTTTGTAAAAGTTATTTTAAAAGACATGACAAGTTGATTCAAATCATTCATATTTTCTACTATCACGGGAGATTTCATGTTCTTGATGGGGAATTTATCAAAAATCTAAAATACTTGAATTTTCGCTTTTAAATATATCTAATTTTAAGGCTACAAATGGCTTTCCATAATTTCTTTGTCCAACTTAGAGTTAAGTTTGACTTAGGATCTTTGTGAAACAACCCCCAGGACAGAGCATTACTAACTCACTGTGTTATGGATTGGTGAAATATGCACAAGTTTCTCCTATAAGATAAGCAATCAAATGGAGATCCTAGATAGAAAATTCCGCTCAGAACACATGCATTACATGAACAAATTACAAAAAACTATATAGATAACTGGCATTTTTATAGTTCAGAAGAAAACAGGAACGGAATGTGTAATCCTATGCCTATTGAAAGCATAATTCCAAACTTTTTAATGGTTGAAGAAAAAAAAAAATGAAATGAAAGATAATAAGGTAGAATTCACATGTGCACTGACCTGCTTTCAGTTCCTGTACGTCAAAGAAAATCTTCAAATTCGGAGCCAGTTTCTGCAGCATGTCCACAAAGCAATTGGCCTTCTCCGTGTCACGGTGAGAGTATGAGAGAAAGACATCATAGCGAAGGGGATCAAACTCAGCGACGGTGAGCTCGGTGTGGAGGGTGATCGAGAGGGAGACAGACAGCGACGAACAAGCGTCTTGGATCTTGGATGGATCATGGGGTCTGGGCGAAACACAACCAGGATTACAGATGGTATAACCATCTATGGTATAACTCTATTATCAAATTAACATTTACTTTTACTTTTTATTAATTTACCATTTAATTTGAGAATCATAACTTCCTTAGAGACCTTTAAATCCAAGCTGAAATCTTTTCTTTTTTAACAATACCTGTACTTGGCACTATAATACTCATCCGAACTTTCTCGCCCAAACTTTCTCATTCTTTCTATTTTTCTTGTGTGCCTCGGAATAGCATTGTCTAGATAGACGGCGCTATACAAATGCCTATTATTATTATTATTATTACTTTACTTGGAGGGTGTGTGCGCTCTATAATTATATACTATTATTATTATTATTATTACAGAGGGTTCTTTCATATACTCTAAGGTGTCCTGGACATACTCGTGTTTCCATTCAACATTTAAAAACACTAAAAGTCTGATGGGTAGCAAGACGATAAAGAAAACAAAGAAAAGTTTTTCAAAAAGATGACATTTCAAAGCAACAGTTTCTAACAGTTCTAAAATTGCCAATAATTAAGTAAATGAAAAAAAATATATCATGTGACTCTATTCCCTACATCCGTCAAAGCCATTTAATTGAAATCTTTCATCTTTCCAGATTTAATGAATCGTCTCTACTCTGCTTTCTATATTACCACGTATTCGTCTGATTTATCATGAAGTTCAAGAAAGAAAACAATTGTTCATGGCAGCCAGTTCAATGTCAGAGCAATCAAGCAATTATTTCTCGTTTAATACAAACCTGCAGTCTACATACTGCACCAGCCCCATATAAGTTGGCATCATCTCCACAGAGTCCACGTAGAATGGAGCAAGCATGTCCCGTAGAGCCCTGCGGTTACAACAGAGGGCGATGTTGTACTGCTCTATGCAGGCATTGTTTTTGAGGTAGTTTGGACTGAGAACTGGTGGCGAGAATATGAAATAACGTCATGAGCAACTGATGAAAAGTAGTCTTGTAGCTACTTATGACATTGCATTAGTGGTCGTTTTATGAAATACAGATCTCAACCATCATTATCTTAAGTCAGACAATTATAATTATCATCATTAGTAAGACTCCAGATTCAGCCCAGCTATCTCCATCATTTTTACAAGAAGAACATTTCACCACGACATTAATTAACCTCTATGCCCTCTTCTTCATTACAGTATTCAAACATAACCTTCCGTCTTCATTATCATCACATCAACATCATTAAAGTGCTCCTAATACTCATAAACCTCAAGAACAATATCATGCTCATCACCATCACTACTATCTTCCTCCTCACTATCATCATCATCACCATTATCATAATCATCATCACAGTCATCATCAACATCCTCCTCATCATCATCCTCATCCTCATCATCATCATCATCATCCTCATCCTCCTCCTCATCATCCTCATCCTCACCATCATCCATCTCTGTCTTTAATTCCCCATCTTCATCAGAAGTATCCAGGCCGAGTCCTTCCAAGACATCTCACCTGTAACTATCCTGGCACATTTCATCTTCCGTCTCACTATCATCATCATTATCATCATCACCTTTATCATCATCATCACTACCATCAAACTCATCATCACTGCATCATTGACATCCTCCTCCTCCTCATTATCAGTTTCACATTAGAAGTCTCACATTTATCCTCATCATTATCCTCCTCGTCATCCTCATCCTCACCATCATCTTACATTCTCCATCTTCATCAGAAGTATCCGGGCCAAGTCCTTCCAGGACATCTCACCTGTAACTATCCTGGCACTTTTCATCATGACAGAGTACATGTCCTGTTGAAACACATTGTCTGTATTCATTGCCTGCTGGGAGCTGTCGTAGATGACGACGCCCTCCTTAGCACTGCTCAGCTTCTCCTTAATCACCTTGGCAACCTCTTCATCCTCTTTGCTGAATGACAGGTACACGTCAAACTCCAATGGCACTGCCTACACAGGTCATTACAAATTGGTTATAAAGAGGTGCAGACTACACATTACCAGGACAATAGTCTCACTATAGCAATCGTGTCAAAATCACACCATATCTAAGTATCTCAAACAAAGGCTCATCTTTTGCAGATCCGGCCATAATTAGTTTATCAAGTTTTAAGCCCATTCAAAATAAAAAAAGGAAGCATTTTGAATTTGGTAAAAAATATATATATATATATATATATATATTTAACATTGATTGTATAGAAACTCTCCTATTATACATGTAGTGGAAAAGAGCTCTCTGCATGCAAGTAGACCAAAGAAAGCAATTGATGACATGTTTCTCAAATAGATAGGTATTTCAGCCAAGAAAAAGCTGGAAAACAAAAGTATGTTACAATGAAAGGCTTTTCCGCTTAAACTTTCAAAATATAATACATGTACTTATCACAAGCCTATACCTTGGGAAGGAGCAACTGCATTTCATAGCGTTCTTTGAGGTCATCAAAAGTCTTTGTCACATCCTCAAATCGTTTGAGGGAGTGACCCTGGACCTCACCATCTTTGAGCTGTACGTAGAGGACTAGTTTCATCCGTCTTAGGGGAAGACCCGCTTTCATCCAGTTTACCGCTGCTTCTACCATACCTTTTAACATTGCTACCTCATCAGCTCCCTGCAAAAAATAAAGATAGAATATATAGGGTGTCTGAATACAGCAAATATGTAGGATTTTCCAGCCACACAGTAACTACTAGCTTTCATAATGTAATTTAACTGTGCATCCCTACTGAACAATGAAAGTCACACTTGCCCAAATACACCACAGATAAATGTGGTGTCAGTGTCCAGTACTCCTCAGTAGTACTATAATAGAATTATAATAGCATGCTGATAATTTCAACATCTGCCAAACCCTCTAGTTTTTTTTATAGGTATCCCAATGATAAATTTGATGCTTTTATGATGACAATTAATGTTCTATAAGCATCATCTTCTATTTCTTAGCAGCATTTATGCTAACATGATCTGAACTTTATAAAAACCTAAGACAAATCTGTACTGCATATGGAGTTTCTCTTTCCAGCAGATCCCTGTTTGTTCTGCTTGGTACAATATGACAATTAACCTAGATTAATTTCTTCCTCAGACTTGTACATACATGCAATGGTAGGATTTTGAACCTAGAATTATAATACAGCATGCCATAAAATGGAATACATGTGGGCTACAATGAGAAAGATATTTTTAAACACTGAAACTCAATGCAATGCTTACACTATGAATATGACTGACAAAGAAAGCGGACAAAATATACAGTTCCTCAGGTAGACAAAGGAACATCCCTTCACTGCTATTATGTAAAAAGTGAATACATGTGACACCTGTTCTACACATTTTTACATAATAGCAGTGAAGGGATGTTCCTTTATCTACCTGAGGAACTGTATATTTTGTCCGCTTTCTTTGTCAGTCATGTTCATAGTGTTAATACCTGTTGGGCGTTGAGCAGTGGAGTAATGACTGTTCCATCTTCATTGTTTAGTATAGGAACCAGGCAACGGAAAACATTTGCAACCAACTCTTGGGGACGTCCATCCATAACCCTGCAAATAATTCATGACAGTCAAAATTAAGGAAAAACAATAAGGATTAAAAACACATTTTGCAAATTTGAATATATACTGTACATAGGGCTGCACACAAACTTTTTTTGGAAGAGGGATCAGACTGAACTTTTTAGTATACAATGTAGTATGCATACGTATTATAAAATAAAGAATTGGGGGGGGGGGGTCCAAATTATGATTTTGGGTGCCCAAGTCTCCCTGGCGCCTGTTAGTTGCTATTGGGTTTTTGGTTAGTTTCTGGGTTAGAATATGGTGTAATAGTAGGAGACCAGCCTGTAGGTCCCGTGACCAATCTCGGGGAACAAAGGTTTGAAAGTGCTTTTGTGTTCCCTGATGAATACCGAACAATTTTGACTTGGGCTGCCCCTTGAAAATCCCAGGCATTTTCGTGAGGGCCGGGTCAACAAAGGTCACACAGGGATAGAAATTCAAATAGTTTCTATGTCAATATGCATATCAAACTACTTGTCTGGTCATGCGGATTCCGAAAATGTATAGTTTGCTATACCTCCGACCTTAAATGAGGGCCCTATGGTCAAAAACGTTGAAAGGTCAACACATTTTGACTGGTGGTCAAATTCACCAACACAGTGAACCTTTTTAAATTGCATATCAAATTACTTGTCTGGTCATAAGGATTCCAAAAATGTTTAGGTTGTTATACCTCCCACCTTAAATGAGGGCACTATGGTCAAGAAGGTCAATGCACTTTAGAAATTCACACAGTTAACATCGTCTGATTCTAATGATTTTAGTGTCTAATAATATGTTTTCTGACATGGCAAATTCAACTAGGCAACTTTTAAAATCAAAAGTGGTTGCCATAACCTTGAAATTTCCCCCAAACCCATGGATAAGAAGTTGTTAGATGTTTGTCACCGAAACGGCAGCCATTTTGAATGTACATGGTCAAGGTAAGCACTTTTACTTTTGAAAGTTGTATAGTTGAATTTGCCATGTCAGAAAACATATTATTAGACACTAATCTTATATTAGACATCAGGGAACACAAAAACACTTTCAAACCTTTGTTCCCAGAGATTGGTCACGGGACCTACAGGCTGGTCTCCTACTATAATGTTCGGTCCAAGGTTCGAATTAGGAATTCAGGTGATAAATTGACCACAGAGCAGTTTCACTGTTTGTACCTGCGAGTCTCAAAGCATAGCAACCTCCTGTAAGGAAGCCTGCTGGGTAGGGGCTTAGACCACCAGCAGGAGTAGAGCTTGCGGAGATCTTCCTCCTTGTCCTTGGCTACATCTTCCACGCTGAGATTAAAGGTGCGCTGGAGGGCACCGATCACTGACTGAGGAGAGGGAGAGTAGTCACCTAGAAAGGGTTTTGGAGAGGGTGGGGGGAATAAATTGGTGATGAAGTTAACAAACAAGAAAGGACAGGAAGAGAAGAAAGTATAATTTTTAAGAGTAGAATGAATAAAATATTAAACTCTGTTAAAAATAAGCTCTAACAATTTTGTGGTTTACACTTTACAGACTTGGTTTCTTTGTAAAAGAATGTGAATTACCAAGGGACATAGAGACAAACTAACAGCTTGAACTATTCGCGATAAATGACATAAGACTGATCACCACCACCTTAACATCACCCTGTGTAATTTCATAAAGGCCTAATGATATCATTGAGAATAATTTATTGCAACAAGACAAGTAAATATTTGCTAAACAGCATAAAGCGACTGAAATTGAATTCATAAGTAGATAAATTTATTGATGAAAATGGTCTGGGACAAGTCATCCCCATTGGAACCAGTATGGCAGTAATTATGCAGTCAAAATCTCAGGTAGTGAGACCAAGGCTAAGAAGAGTAATATCTTTAGATCATTAACTCTCTTGGTTGAGTCTGATGGATATTAAGAACATAAAATCATTCATCTTGATTACCTCTGAAAGCCGAGATGACGATGACGTCCATTTTATCCTCCATCGGCAGTCTTGTGATGTCACCAAGACAGAGGTCGACCCGACACTCTCCATTCTGGGTCAACACTTTGATGGAGTTTGCGACAATCAGCTCAGCTTCCGACATAGTGTCAATCCTCTTTCAATCCCGATGCCACTGAAAAAAGAAAGAAATAATAAAAATTAAAATGATAATATTATTAATAATAATAAAAATAATAATACTTATACTAAGAAGGAGGAGGAGGAGGCAGAGGAGGAGGAGGCAGAGGAGGAGAAGGAGAAGGAGGAGGAGAAGGAGAAGGAGGAGGAGAAGGAGAAGGAGGAGGAGGAGGAGAAGGGGAGGGAGAAGGAGAAGAAGAAGGAGAAGAAGGAAGGAGAATTAAAAGGAGAAGAAGAATAGCTACAACTTACAATAATTAAAATAATAATACTTATACTAAGAAGGAGGAGGCGGAGGAGGAAAAGGAGGAGGAGAAGGAGGAGGAGAAGGAGAAGGAGAAGAAAAAGGAGGAGAAGAAGAGAAGGAGGAGGAGAAGGAGGAGAAGGAGATGGAGAAGGAGAAGGAGAAGGAGGAAGGAGAAGAAGAAGAATAGCTACAACTTACAATAAATAAAATAATGATAATAATGGTGATAATAATAATAATATTAATAACAATAAATAATTTCTATAATAACAATAACCGTTGTCATCATCATCATCATTAAACAATAACATGTTTTGTTATTTAACACTCTACAGTAACATGAAGTATCCATCTCAGCTCACCTTATCAGAAATTTATATGTGCCAAGTCTAGAGAGCCAAGACCAGTACAGTGCAGTGGCATGAAGACTATATCGACTCGAGTCAACTCAAGAGTCAAGATTCACTCAAGCTGTCAGTTTCACTTGTAAGGCGCCTCTTTCATTACAAATACTAGCGTGCTGTCCATCTGACTTTTCCTTTTGATTTTGCACAAATAAAAGATTGCTGCAAACGTCTCCACGCAGCTCAGTTATGGTCCGTTTCCTGTAAGAAATCGCTGAAAACCTAGCGGATATCCTCGGTTCGCTGCCCCGCAGGTGTTGGGGGACCATGCCGCTGTACAGCCGCTGAGCTGGAGCTAGCTGAATGAGCTTCCGGTTTCCTTGAAAACCATGTACTGTACGGTATGCAAAACAATCCGTGGCCTCAGTTCAGACTTTTTTCTTTAAAAATTCCGAAACACCCATAATACCGCCACCCCTTTTAAAACAGGGCTTGATTTAGTTGTTTAAATATCAAAAGCTAAGACTCAAACATATGCAGTCTTTCTGATGGCATAACACCAAGATTTCTTAGTCTTATATAATCAAGGTCAATTTACAACATATTTGACAAGAAACTTTGCTGCTTTTACTATTTTGGTTTTTCGGAAACTTATTTATCTATTCAAGGGCCCTTAACTTGTTTTAAACTGAAGAGGCAACCCTGTTTAAATTAAAGTAAAATAAATAAAATAAATGTCATCAATCACTTACAAGAGTTCATGCAACCTAATGGGAACCAAATGTGAAAGAATTGAAACTGCACACATCTCAACCAACATACACACAAACTTCTTGGTCAGATTTTTTCTGTTTTTCTCTTATTAATTCATCATTTTCAGAAAACTCTCTCACACATAAATGAAATATACCGGTAGAAAAAAACTTATTATCTGACAAGAAGGATAGAAGTATGTTTGTTTAACTTTATTACAATATATTTTTCATCTTACTAAGATGTAAAAGGACTGCAGTATCATATGAACACAGTCAATAATTTTCAGAACATTTACAAACACAATATTTTTCCACTCCCTTGATCACTAATTCACTATGATGAAAACCAGTAACCACTCTGAAAACAACATACATGTAATCATTCGCTTTTCTTAAAGGTAATACAAAGTTTTGGGAATTTTGAAAATTGGGTGGATAGTGATTCTTTACAATTTTGATATATTTGGATGCTCCTGTGGATGTATTAAATGCACTAGAAAATTTAGCCCCTGAAACACTTCTGCTTTCGAGAAAAATTGAATATAAAAATTCACCGGTGCTCCCGGTAAATTTTGATGAATTTCGAAAAGCGACTACGGCCCTACAATAGTAGCTGTGACCGTGAAAATCTCAGAATATGTAATTGTGATATAATTTCCGAACGGGAATAGCTAATCGGTTGATTTTAGCCAAGAAACATTGTTTTAAAGCTTAATTAATATCTTGACCTTGAGAGGGAGCTATACAACATAACAACAATAATAATAATAATAAAAACGTTACTTATAAAGCGCTTACCACCGAAGTCTCTAAGCGCAAGTGTATTATCAAAACTTTCACAACTTAGACTCTATTTCAACTGCGACAGCGATCACTGAATATTGAAGGATCGCATGTTTCCAATATGTTCATTTGAACCAAATTCATGACCCCATACCAAAACTTTGTATTACCTTTAACCATATTAGAACTTGTTACATAATACCTTAGCTGATGTACAATTCTGGCAATCCACCTCTAAAACAAGTATCAAAATAATAGCAGAAAAACAGTTTGGCCACAGTTAAAATAAAATTTATTTCATAGAAATATCACTTTCAAAGTTGATTTCACTGCCTTAAAAGTCCAAATTGATGTTATGATGATTTTATGCGAGGACATTTTTCCAATACACATTTAGTTCTCTATGTATTACACAAAATGACTAATACACGACCCTCACTGTTCATACAACTCCCCTCCAAAGGAGGTAGGAATATAGTACCTGGGGCAGGCTGGGCAAACACTTGGGGGGGGGGGGCTTTCAAACAAGGGAGGGGGAGGGGGTAGTTTGCAGACACAACTATTGCCAGTCATTGCGTATAACAGTGCACTAGTATGAGGCTGCAATAGGTTCTTGTACTTTAGCCGACAGTTAGAGACCGATAAATCTTGGCTCTGCTCAAGGTATTAAGACTTGTGGTAAGGTATCGCATTAGCCTCTGTGCTCGCAGACTGTAGGGGGGGGGGGGCACATCCGTCTGACTACAAATTATAGTTGTACAAATAATATAGCCATATAAATACCTTTCTACTGCTTATTCTGCATGTATATCATTACAGGGTATCGGCCTGGCAACTCTCTAGTTTTATATTCTCAAAAGGAGTTGATCCATATGAGCGAGCTGTAATTGAATGCTTTAAAATTATTATCAATAGTACTGGCCCGTCATCCTGAAATACATCTGATAAAAGAGATAGCTTTTTAAGATGTGAAAATACATACTTGTATAGGATAAGGCTGCAACGAGTACAAAAGTATATTTTACCGATCATTATTCATTTTTACAGATTTATTTTTCTTAAATCCTTCAGTTTCAGATGATTCAAAATGCACATCAATATATATGTATATGTACTCTTAATTCCTTTTGATCCGGAGTCAATGAACATGAGTTAGTAGAATTTCACAATACATTCACCAGATGCTGATGATACAGTATAATTCTTGGTGTTCCAAATACAGATTTTAATGAAAGATTTGATATTCTCTTATAGTTCAAGAAAACAGTCAATAATAACAATTTCTATATAGGTAATGGATATAGTTTTGCTCCCCGAACAAAAGAGTCTGTATAGCTTATTTTTATATACATGTATTACACTAACTGTCCAGATGATGCATTTTGAAATTCAAGTTCATTGATGTCATAGTCCTCCATTGCTTTTGACAAGTAATGCCAACGTCCCATGAACCCCACGTCTCGTATCCTGTCCGGAAACTCCCTCCACGACACGGTAAGATAGTCACATTTGGCATCGTACAATGCAACCCGCTTGTCAAAGTGATCCTCCCAGATCAGCGAGCACACGCCAAGGCTCATGTATCGAAGAACACCAGCATTCTGCAGAGCCATCATTTTCTGGACGTGAAGGTCCGAGCCTTGATTCCTGGTCAGGTTGCTCAGTAGGAGTAGGTCATTGCTGGCTTCAACCAGTTCTTTCTCAAAGTTCTCTTCGTCAGGGGCCTGGCTCCCCATGTATCCTATGGCGCTCAAACTTGCGATGTAAAAAGCTGCCTTGAAAGGGCGCTCTTTCATGTCCGTGAAGACGTCCACTGTAGCGGCTTTGTAATCACGGTGCATGTTGCTGAGATACTCGCCTGACAGAAAAAAAGGCAGTTGAATAACAACAATCAAATCAAAGCTCAGGTACACTAGTGGTTACCAATTTCAATATGAATAGAAATTAAAGAATATACATGTAGGTATATAATTTGAGGCAGGATAAACAAAACAGAGTAAAGATATGTTCAGAAAGTTTGTTGCAAATACAATTACAAGTTAAATGTAGAGTCTATTTCATTTCTTTCTTTTCAAAATCCATTTATCATTGTTTTTATTCTTCTTTTTATTCATGTAAATTATTTTAACTATTATTTGTTAACAATATTGTAACTAAATTTTAGACTAATTTAGATCCACAGTACATAGAGCTCAATGGCAATGGGCATTGGGTGCCCAGGCCCCAGTGACCTGATTTTGAGTGATTGAGCATCATCTGATCCTCATGTATGTAGCACTTGCCAACATAATTTGACAGGCTCGGCATGAGCCATGAGTCATGACAATAGAGATGAGGATCAGCGACCACACCCACACCCACGCCCACAGAGATAGAGGCAGAGCCCTACTCGGCCTCGGGCTATGCCCAGGCCTGCGCCCATGGCCATGCCATGTCACACTCCGCCAGCGCACCACGCCGCGGCCAGGCGAGGAGACTCAGGTTGAGGCCGAATCTCCTCGCGTGGCCGTGGCCGTGGCCGTGGCGCGCTGGCAGACTGTAGCATGGCGCTGGCATGGCCACGGGCGCGGCGCAGGCTGTGCCACGGGCGCGGCGCAGGCTGTGCCACGGGCGCGGCGCAGGCTGTGCCACTGGCGCTGGCTGTCTGTGTGTCTGTAGCTGTGCGAGTACTATGAGTGCAGAGTGTAGTAACCCTGTCTCTGTATCTGAGCAAGTGGAACTAGGAAAACAACCAAGATAAAAAGAAACAAAATTTAATTATATTATTTGTTCTTACCGATCTTTTTGGGGAGACCCGTTTTAAGGCGTTCAGGCATCTTCACACTTGAAAGTCGCGAAAGCATTTGCCTCATGGACGCAGCCATCTTGAATGAAAATAGTCTCTAGCTTTGTACATAAAGATATAAATCAAAAATTGTAAAGATAATGATCTACAAAAAATTGTGTAATCACATAAAACTTTTATTTTAGAAATAAAATTATTTATAAAGAATAATATTATTCTTTCATTTTTTAAGCAACATCTTTAAATTTATATAATAAGTAGAAGATGGCATATTGAAAAAAAATAGCCAACGTTAACTGATAATATTGTACACCAATTTGACAGATGGCAAGTAAAAAATGATTTCAACAATGCAATAATAAACGAGCAGTTTTTAATGACCTTCCGTGGCTAATTCTGTTGTTTTTTTAAACGGTCCTTCCAAAAAAAAAGATATATCACTAGAGCGCTATTTCATAGCTGGTCTAAGGGGAATACGTCAAATGCTCTGGACTGCAAATAGCCACTAATAAACCACGATCGCTAATTATGTATGACTCAGTAAGAGCCCCGTGATCTACTGCAGTCGGGACTCCCGCGGGAAGAAACATATGGGAAACTTCCCGGCCCCTCCACTCCGAGAACGGACGGACCCCATGCGTGTTACCAAAATTTCCGGTAAAGGGGTACTTTTCGTGCGACAAAGTCCGGCCCACGAATTGTAAAAAAAAAAGGGGTGTATTAACTTTTCACCCGGAGATTTCTTAAAAAATGGGGTGTTTTTTCATTTTTTCTCTCATGATCACTTTGGACTCCTACTGAAAAATTATTCCGAATTTAGGGGGGTACATTGAGCATTTTTCATGATTTAGGGGGGTCTCCAAGGCAGGAAAAGGCCGCGAAAAGCCTGCGAAAGGGGGGTTCGGAAATGTTGGCAGTCCTCAGATAGGGGGTGCTTTCAAAAAGAGGGAACGAGCATATGCGTACCCTAAATAACACTGAGTGGGGGGGGGGGAGGAAACTTATATATGATACATAATTATTTGGAGCTGCCAGAACTAGACCCGGAACTAGGCCGCTCGTTTCGTGCGGAATCGCCCTTCCTGTCAGGAGGACCAGGTGATCGGAATAAAAATAAAAATAAATAAAAAGGGGGAGGGGGCGGCAGTTCGAGCGTCTGTGAGGTGCAACAGCAAAAGGACCTTTCTGGAAGAAAAGAAAAGAATTAAGGGGGGGAGAAGGGGCATCTATTATAAGGGTATACTTCAAAGCAAAAAATTACAATATATTTAGCCAGTGTTCATATGTCATTGGCATCACTATTTGTAAAGAAAGCAATAAGCGAGCAAAATAAAGGGGGATTTCCCTTTGAATGTTTTTTTTATTTTTTATAAAGGTACTTTTACCTACAAAGTAACCAACGTAATAAATTAAAAATGAAGATGAATTGTGTCAAATTGATTTCAATCATCTTAGACAAGAATGTTTTGAAACACCGTCCTCACTGTTGACCTCAGCCAGTGCCTTCTAATTTGAGTCATTATCATAGAGATATATACTACTAATTAAGTATATATCTCTATGGTCATTATGTGTGAACTCCGTTTCCCATTCCCTTTATTTTCTGTATAGTTTGGCTTAATTCATGGCCTAATCAATCACCATTCTTGCAAAGTCACAAAGCGACCGAGCGGAAGCTTTTTGGATTTATGAAAAAAACTTACAGCAATTTGATTATTACCTTGAAAAAAGTTTCCACAATCAACTGAAAAGCCTCCTCTTATTTTTTTATTTTTTTTAATTGTTGGAAGGGGGGGCAATTGCCACCATACCCTTTTTTGCTTCCTTACACTTCCGCTCTAGAGGTAAACAAAATATGTTTTATGATATTATTTTTTTTGGGGGGGGAGAAAAATCCGCATCACCACCATTCTTACATGTTACGCAGGCCCTGGGAACGTTTTTCAAAGTGTGTGGGTGGGGGGGGGGGGCTAAAGTATTAACGATCAGGTAGAGCAAAGCAAAGCAAAGTGGAGCGTAAATTGGCGTGGTGAAGGGGCAAAGCCCCGGCGGGTGTCAAGGGGCAGAGCCCCATGAAGCTCAGGGGTTTTAGGCATTTATTAAGTCATATGAGCAGGCTGGGGGCGGAGCCCCCGACTGCTCAGGGGTTTTAGACATCTAATTACGGTCAGCTTAGCATTTTTTTATACCTTATTTGTGACACTGGCATGCAGGTCACTAAGCCCCAGGACCCTCAGGGGTTTTAAGCATTAAATTACGATCAGATGAGCATCCAGGGGACGCCTTAGGGCAGTTGGTGGGGTCCAGGGGGAAGAGCCCCTGGAAGCTCAGGCGTTTTAGGCATTTAATTACGGTCAGATGAGCAACCAGGGGCCGCCTTAGGGCCCTTGGTGGGGTCCAGGGGGCAGAGCCCCCGGAAGCTCAGGGAAAAATCATGTCATTTCAACAACATTTGTAAATCACTAGTATCGAATTAGAAATAAACCACGTTTTAATTTTATTTGGAGGGAACTGCTCCCATCAGTACTCAAGTGTGAGGGAGCATATGAGAGGGGTGAAAGTGACGGAAGTGACTACCCCTCACAGGTTTTTGAAGTTGTGTTGAATTAAAAAACTTACATTCCTTAGCAAAACTATAGAATACAAACAAGCAATATACTTTTTTAACATTTCAAATTTTTTGGTATATTTACTTGTACATTTCGAAGCTACCGAGTGAGAAGATTTTTGAATTTTTAATTGTCTAAACGCTGCACTCTTGGGCCCTCCAAAGCCTAAAAGTGTGTTGCAGTCTTTAGTCAGTATTTGCTATACATTTTTATTCTTGAGGGGGGGGGGACGTGTCCCCCGTACCCCGGGATCGCCGCCCCTGGCCCCAACATACATATTTTGATCTCTTCTTAGTTTTTGTTCAGAAAAATGTTATCTTTATAAAAACGTGGAACGGGCATCTATTAGAAAGAAAAAGGGGCACTATTTCAAGTAAAAGGGAGCACTTTTTAGGTACTTCAAATAGTTGGGCAGGAGCACCGAGCTCGCTCCTCATGCCCGCTGGCTCCTTTAATATGCCCCAGGCTCTCTCTCGCCAACTCAATCTATCCTTTTCGTCTTCTCTTTCTCTCTCTCTCTCTTTTCTCTCTCTCTCTCTCTCTCTCTCTCTCTCTCTCTCTCTCTCTCTCTCTCTCTCTCTCTCTCTCATTAACGTCTTCTTCAGTTACAATTTTCTCTTTATTTCGATCATTCTCTCCCCTCTCTCTTTCTCTCTCTCTCTTCACATGATCTTTCCTCTATATTTTTCCAATATAACGTGTCTCCTGTTCACAAAAAGGTAAGGCCACGACAGCATGGCTGAAACTCTGTACTTCCATTTTCCTAAACATTTTAATGCTTTTAAACCTTTAATTCACAATGTGAGAGCCTATATGTTTTCTCTTCCGCGTGTGTGTGTGTGTGTGTGTGTGTGTGTGTGACTTTCCTTCTGCAAAAGGTATATGCAATGCGTCTCATTTGATACACTCAATTCATTCTCTCACTACTTGCGTTACTATCATACTAATTTCAATCACTAAAATAATTGTAAAACGGCCATGCCATTATCCTCAGTTTCACATACAAAAACTTCCTCTTTGCATATAGTGTGGCGCGTCAGATCAGGCCTCGAATCTTCGCGGAGTTACAGAAAATACCGTGGGTAAAAAGAGAAAATGGAGGCCGTTCCACAACCTCCAGCAGGTAATATTCATATTGTATTGATCATTTTATTCATATTACTCAGTTGTGCATTCATATTAACTATAATACTTAGTCCAATTGATGGAAAAGCTCACCCAAACAGCGCGGCAAGTCCTCGCACGGTGAGGCGCGGCGCCGGTCTGAGAACGGTCATTGCAGTGCACTTGCACCGGAGGTCGGAGGCAGTCCAGGCGCGGCAGGCTCGGGGCCATGGCCATGGCATGGCGGCCAGTCGCCTGTTCAGACTCGGACTTGGTATTTGAGAACAACTACAAGCTGAGCTGAGCTAGCACGCCAGGCACATGTTGGCCCGAATTCACAAAGCAAGGTTTGAGCTCAAACCTCCTTTTGTTTCGCCAAACCTCCCTTTGTTATTTACAAACCAGGTTTGTAAATAACAAAAGGAGGTTTGGCGAAACAAAAGGAGGTTTGAGGTCAAACCTTGGTCTGAGCTCAAACCTTGCTTTGTGAATTCGGGCCATAATGTCTGAAAATAATGATCATGATTATTGTTTAGTAAATAAATGTCCAAGAGTCCAAAATCTATGAATATGCAGGTCAAGAATAAGACAATTGCTAAGCTCGCACCCAGCACCTGCAAATTACTATTAGTTTTGTGTGTGCTGCCTTGGTCTCACTCTGTAATATTTGGGAAAACAAATGCTGAGCCTAGTAAAATCTAAGAACTTTTAAACTCTTTTTGCTGCTTTAAAAATTGCTGGGAATACATGTAAATGACTGTTTCTCCTTTTTTTCCTCATTACCTTTTCAGACACTGATCTGCAGAACATTATCGACAAGTTGGCCAACTTCGTCGCTCGCAATGGCACCGATTTTGAGATGATGACAAAGGAGAAACAAAAGAATAATCCAAAATTTGGTTTCCTGTTTGGAGGAGAGTACTATAATTACTACCAATACAAAGTAACATCCGAACAACGTAGTAAGTACACTGTTGAAAGAAATGTTTTTGTTTTATAAGTAGGGCTCCTTTTTGTTTTCTTTGTCAGTGGTTTTTTGAGAGACACTTTGTTCAGGATCATGTTTTTTTCCCCAATCTGCTTTATTTTAAGAGCTACATGTATTTATAGCCAAATCACTTATTCTATTTTGTTGTTGTAAATATGTGTAAATCACATTTTTGTTACTTGCCATGGGATTTGGCTTTTCTATTCATGTGTATGGTATTGGTGAGGGTATTAGTCGTGGTATTAATAAAGGCATATTTATACAGTGTGTAAGAATACAATTTTTGTTATTTACCTTTCATCATGTTATCTAAAATTATTGTCAATTTTCATTGTATTTTCACTTTCTCTCCCTAAATGTTATTATTTTTGCTCTTGCCTTTCTTTTTCTTGCTATCTTGATTTGTCCACTTTCTCACTCTTTTCTCGACCCTCCCCATCTCTCTCTCTCTGTCTCACACACTCTCTCTCTCTCTCTCACTCTCTTCTTCACCCTCTCCTTCACTCTCTACCTCGTTCTCTCTATCTCTATCTAACTCTCTCTGTCTCATCCTCCCCTCTCTTGCCCTCCCCTCTCTTGCCCTCCCAATCTCCACCTTTTTACTCTCTCTATCTCTCTCTCTCTCTCTCTCTCTCTCTCTTTCTCTTCATCCCTTCCCATCTTTCTCGTGCTCTCATTCTCTCTTACTCTATCCATCTCTCTGTGTCTATCTCATCCTCCCCCTCTCCCGCCCTCCCAATCTGTTCCCTTTTACTCTCTCTTTCTCTCTTTCTCTCTTTCTCTCTCTATCTCTCTCTCTCTCTCTCTCTCTCTCTACATCCCTCCCAATCTCTCTCTCTACATCCCTCCCAATCTCTCTCTCTCTCCCAATCTCTCTCTCTCTCTCTCTCTACTACCCCCCCCCCCCCCACCCCACACCCTACCGCATCCCCATCTCCCATCTATCCCTACTCCAGGCATCCAGCAGCAGAAGGATAAGCTTGCCCAGCAGCAGGCCATCATCCAGGACGTCATCACCCAGCAATCCATCCAGTCTGCGCCATGGCAACCCCAGATCCAGCAGCAGCAGCAGCTGGAGGAGCAGATCGCTCAGATCGAGGAGCAGATCAGTCAGAGTGAGGAGAACCTCGGCAAGCAGAAGGAGGTCCTCCTGCAACAGCAAAACGTAATAGAATATAATTTTTGTTTACACATGTATCTTTGTATGTCAGGCCTGATAATTTAAATCGGTTTCCTGATTATTTTTTTTTCCCGATTTTATCCTGATTTTTGCAGATTTTTCCCTTATTTTCTATATTCTTCCCTATTTTCCCCATTCTTCCCTATTTTCCCCAATTTTCTTACTCAAAGGGGGGGGGGGGGGGGGGGGAATGTTGTTCGATGCCATTTTTCCCCCCTGAATCCTCTTCTTTTTTTTATGTGTTCTAGAGGACCGAAGTTAGCTGCCAGTTTTCTGATTGCAAGAAGAGTATTTCTTCTTCAGATTTTTGCATTCAAATTATGAAATTAAACTAGGTTCTAAGTGAATTAGGGGTGAAAATGTTAAAGGTATTATAAAATTGGATATCCCCCCCCCCCCCTCACAATTCAGAAGTTAATTGTTTGGGAAATTTGTGCCATATACAGATATTAACAAAATATTCATGGAACTATCGTGTTTCTATCAGAGACGAAGGTGTTACTTTTATCCAGCATTAGTCTGAATATTAAAATGGTTAGATAGTCAGTTAGGGGACCTACAAGTGACATTATTTTGCCCTTGTCCGTCTCTGCTACTTGTCATCAGTATTTGCCTTATTTTAAAAATCTAAAAAAGGGATGGGGGTATACATCTTATTTTTTCACCAATCAGTACATATATTTGCCTTGTGCTTGTGCATTTGTAACTTTCTGAGCCACCAGAGGGGCCCTTTGAGCCCTGTCTTCTTTTTATTTTGGACTGAAGTTGAAGTCAGTACCGTAAAACCCCGTGTATAAGGCGCACCTGTGTCTAAGGCGCACCCCTATTTTTTTTATTTATTTTTTTTTTGGGGGGGGGGGATTGAAGGCACCGATTTGTGCTTGTTAACTTGTCACAAATAATAGTAACAATGTCGTTTTTAGAAGAATGTGTAAGATCATTAATGTAAATTAAAAACAGAGTACATGCACATAGGATAGAACCTTGTAGTACGCCATGAATTATTATTATAAACTACATATTGAGATCTATTAGAAAGATTACTTTCAAACCAAGATGACAGACAAATTTGAGTGTTGTTGTAGTTTCCGAGTGGTGAGTCAACACACAGATTACTGAGCTGGGAGATATTGCCGGGCATAAAAAAAATTGTACCTGTGTATAAGACGCACCCCCGACTTTCAATTTTTTTCATCGGCAAAAAATTGTGCCTTATACACGGAGATTTACGGTATGCATCATCCAAATAGGAACCGTAAACAGTTTGCAAAAGTCTTGACCAATGGCCCATGCTTTCTTTTTCATCCATGTCTTTTCTACCACTGTAACAGGATCAGATAGAATCTGTCCTGGCGAATAGCAGAGAGAAAGCTGTGATTGGGATAGCCACTGAGCTCGACGTCAATCTGTCAGAACTAGACAGCAGACTCCAAGCCATCATCGATGCCTGTACCAAGGATGCTATATCAGTGAGTTCTTACGCAAGGATTTTCTCCCGTGATTGGGTATCCTTCATTCCAGCTCTGTTTATGTATCACTGTAGTTTGGCGTTGCTGATTTGTAATCACTGCCCCTATGTGAAGATTATGTGAAAATAGCTTTAAATAGCTTCTATTTTTCTTTTTTCACTGCTTGAATGCTTTTTATTATGGAAAGGATTATTGTATGATGGCTGAATTATTGTGAAAGTTAAACTTCTAAGCAAGTTCAAAATTGCACTACTAAAGGACAAGCCTTCTGACACCCGAGTTATGATCCCTGGGCCCTGTCTAACAAAGAGTTTATATCAATCGCAACTATGTACATAAGAGATAGCAGACTGCAAGGTTGCGATTGATTAGAGAACTCTTTGTAAGACAGGGCCCATATCTAGCAAACTGGTTCAGTACGACCGATGTATGGTTCTATCTGCAATTTGGAACTCGCTTAGAAGTGCAGGGAATAATTTTCCTGGTATCGCATCGCAATTTGCTATGCATTTTTGCATGACTGCTATACAAAATATTGTTTGTGTAGCAGTTTTCTTCCATAGAAATGTACAGAATTTCATTTGAAATATTTATCCATCAGCTGAAATTGGTAATCAAAATATTTGAGGAAAATTATTCCCTGAAGTGTAACCGTCTCATCAAGTTCAATAACATTGGGCTTGTCTCAAAAACATGAATTTACTACTGGAACTCACTGACCACAAGACTTTCTTCTTTCTTGGAAATTATGCTGCGGATCACACACGCCCTCTATTGATCAAATAAAGATAACATCTTGTCAAAGCGAGTCGGATTCTATTATACATCTTACAAAATATGTGCAATGTGAAGACTAAAGTACTGAAAGAACTTACTTGAAATGTCAGCACAAATGCCTGCATTTCCATGTTTCTCTTTCTTATAGCGAAACCTGTCTATAAAGACCGTTCAAGGGAAACATGAAAAGTGGTCTTTACAGGCAGGTGGTCTCTAAGTACCGATTCCTTTTGAATGAGAAGCCAGATTCAAGGGAAACAAGAAATGTGGTCTTTAAAGACAGGTGGTCTTTTTATACAGGTGGTCGCTATTAAAAGCAGGTTTGAATGTACCATCAAACCTGCTTTAGTGACCACCTGGCTACAAAGACCACATTTTTGTGTCCCTTGATAATGGTTTCTCATTGAAACATGTAAAAAAGGGACCTGTCTACAACGACCACCTGTCTAGAACAACCACTTTTTATGTTTCCCTTGGGCGGTTGCTATAGACAGGTTTGACTGTATCACAAAACTGAAGAAACTGTCAAAACGTTGCTAGTCGTGCTTCATCGTGGACTATCCCTTTCCTTTTCCTTTCCTTTTCCTTGCACTCCCCAGAACGGTAAACAGTGGATATTCTCCACAGCTCGTTCCCCCAAGCACTGTGTGCTGATTGCCAAGTATCTCCTGCATCAGATCCTGGCCAAGGCGGCACCATTCACAGCCAAGCTGCATCTCATCTACCTCATCAATGATGTCCTGTATCACTGGTAATGTACTTACTAACATTTTGAGTAGATGTTTACAAATACAGTCAAACCTGTCTATAGTAACCACCCAAGGGAAACACAGAAAGTGGTCTTTGTAGACAGGTGGTCTTTTTAGACAGATGGTCACTAAAGCAGGTTTAACTGTACATATCCCACTGCTGCCACCATGTTTTGGTAGCTGTTGGCCGAGCATTGATTCACTACAAGTCCAACTAAACTAGCACAATACAAGACACGGATGACCTCCTGTTCATGTGTCTAAACCAAAAAATTATGAGTCTTAAAACTCTTTATTACGTCACAATCATCCGTGCGCGCTTACAGTGTAGCTGCTCCAGCTCACATAGATGATGAATATTTATACATATTCTTACATTGATATTCATTTGTGCTTCTTTGTGAGCCCTGTTAGGTTGTTGGTACATCACTTTATTGATACTTTCAGCAATAAAGGGGCTGAGACATTATGACAAAGATTTACAAAGAAAAGGAGAACAATGTTTTTTAAAGAAAAGCCCAGGACTTGACCTAATTTATTGTCCATGCAGGGCAGGTAATGTAAAAAAGGTATTGCATTCACCTGTTATACAGTATATTATTTCAATATACAGAATGCAGACCTGTAGCTGCTATGTCCGGCAAGCTATTGGGTTGTCACTTGGAACCATTAGTAGATGCATGCATGCAAATTGATATATTTGGGAACGTGAACTGATCTATTGAAACAAATCCAAAAATATACATATTTTAGTAATACAATCAAAATAGTGCACGTTTCTTTTCATCTTCAAGTGATTACATGTTGTTACAAGCTATTCTGTCATCTGATTCTTGTTATTCTTCCTAAGAATTCAATATTTCAATAATTGAGTGTTGCTAGTTCGGACAAATTTCCAACAAGCCTGTGAGGTTGCCAACAGCGCATTTTAGTCCAGAGCGCAAGAATGAATTTAGAATTAAATTGAATATATAATGATGGCATAGTTGGTGCCTTAGACACAAATTCTTTACTTCTGCATTTATAATATAAAGAAGAACAATATAGTCTGTCACAAACTGGGTCTACATTGCATACCAACAACACACAATTTGAAATTCCAAGTGGCTGCTTGTCAAATATGCATGTATGTTTCACTGAAGAAAACAATGCATAGCTTGCATGCACTTATATTAACACCTGGGAAAAAGGGCTGTAGCAGTGCTTGCATTGTCCATTGTAATCACACATGAGAGATGATTCTGAGCTCACATCAGTAAGTGTTGATGAGCTAAAATATGAGGGCTAGACTGCAGCATTGACTGGAAGTAAGCATTGCAATACAATTACAGCTTTAAAAGATATTTCACCAAATTGTGAAATACACGGAGACAAAATACTGGATACGTGCTCATGAAAGTTATGTAATCATTCATTTATGCACAAGCAGTGCACTGTATGATACACAGGTGGAAGTTTTCTTTGAAAAGAGGAAACAAAGGCTGTTTATGTAGCACCTCCATCACTGTAGGAGTAATTATTTCAAAATGTACAAAGTGGGACCTCTTCATGTTTTGAAGATCTGTGGATATTCAGGGTCATGTGCTAACGGCGAACTGGTCTAGTTGAACCATCGGAGAGACTTTCTCATTTGATTCTTCGATTGTTTCTGCTTGAATTGCAGCACAAGACGGAATGCTCATGATCTCCAGCATGCCCTAGAAGACACAGTGGCCCCTATCTTCTGCTCGACGCATGCAGTGGCAGATGAAGATCAGAAAGGAAAACTTGAAAAGGTATGCACTTTTGTTTTTACATTTGTATCTCTAAGTATTAAAACCAATGTCGATAGTACACGTAGAAGAATCTGGGAATTATTGTCATTGTTAGTTCTGTTTATTTGCTCTTCTTTGTTCAATGTAATTATTAAGCCTGAGTCATTACGGTTTTTGTGCTAAACGGTTAACCGTTAAAAGTATACGGGCGGTTTCGTTTAACCGTTTAATAATAATCTGAAAAAGTGAAAATACAGTATTTGTAATAGTGCTATAGCTCGGAACCCTGCTGGTCTTCAGACTGTCGGGCTGAGCATTCCCAGCCCCGGACTATGGCACAAATTGGGTCATCCTGATAAACAGAGACCAGTAATAAACAACATAAAACATGTCTTATTATTCCTCATCTGAATTTGATATCATGATTAACCTTGCAAAGTTACTCTGTGAAGACGTGTTTATATATGCCTTTGCAATGCAATGTTTGCACATGGTCAGGGAGAGAGCTCCCTGCATGTATCATTGCCATATGAAATTATGTGGAAGTGTGTATCACATACACCCAAGACACACCCTGCAATGAGCTGATCCAAGTTAGTGACCAATCAGGAAGGTTCTCTAGCTATGTGGGTGGAGTTTGATACCAGCATAAATTACAGGTTGGTGACCGCGCGTGCTTTCACCGTACCCAGTTCAGTGGGAGGTCAAGAAGCCACGCCCACATGTGTGCATGTGACAAGCATGAGCTCTCCATCTGTGTGTATGTACAGTGTATTTGGGCGCCGGAGGTTTGTGTGTACATGTGTGTGTGACTGAGAGAGCATGCATGGGCTAGCATGTCCCTGCACGTCCCTGCATGGACGAGGCAGGGACATGAGTGAAGATAGAAAGGGTGGCTGTGTTAATCGGCTGAATTGAAGAATGATCAAAAACTTAAATTACTCACAATATCCAAGACTTTGTTGATTGATATTTCTAAAAATTCAATTATTATTGTTATCAATATTTTTGTATTTTATTTATATATGAACATTATTTTAGGGGGCGAGTCGGCAAGGGATGGATATTGATATTGAGTGAGAGAGAGAGAGAGAGAGAGAGACTCGGGGGAGAAGGGATGTGAGAGGAACTGACCATCGAATGTGTAAACATTTAGAAAGTTGTGAGCTGAGAGTGCAGTAATAAGAAAAGGTACATGAGCGATGAACACATTGCAGAGAGAAGGGAATAAAGAGGGTGAGAAAAGAGAGAAGGGGGCTGGTTGTTTTATTGTTTACAAATTCATTCATGGCGATTACTGCTGCCAGAAAGCTGGCGCGCAGCGGCCAGGGTGTAACATTACACTGCGGTTTCTTTGATTATCTTTATCATCGGCTATTAGCACATTCCAAAATGTATGCAAATAACGGTTAACCGGAGCGAGAAATGCTAAACGGTTTTGATGAATGCGGTCGGATAACCGTCGGTTAAACGGTTTGACTCAGGCCTAGTAATTATTGAAATAAACCTGTTATAAGATATGTTTAAATGTTTGGATGATTCTCCCTTCAAGAACCTTGTACACTTTTTCACTCACCTGCTCAGATTTTTTGTTGTGGGTCCCCCTTCCAACAGGGGCCAGTTTCCTCGAACCGTCCTAAGTCTAAGTTCGTGGACATCCTATAGAAATGCGTATTAATTTCAATTGGATGTCCAAGAAATTAGACTTAGGACGGTTTTGAGGAACAACCCCCTGTTGTGCAGCATCTTTTGCACACATATCACAGAAACATGTTGAGAGTTATCTTTCTTTTTAATATGAACAAAAAAGTAAATGTCCTGTAAAGTAAGCATCATTTAGGCATGTAGTGTTCATTAAGATTATGTAAAATTCTGTTAAAGGGATCCGGTAACTTTGTCTCAGATTCTGAAACAAAATTCTGGATTTAGCTCATGATGCAATGATAATTATTAACCTTTAGGTCAGTCAGGAACCCCATGACTTTTACAAGCCGATCGCCTGCCTGATTATCAAGATATTTATGATTGGAATTAAAAATTTTGAAAACCGTTCGCCTGACGGTTTTCACAACACTACAGTCTATTGGGGAAAATTAGTATGGAAAAACCGGTCACTCAAAGATTTTTACTTTTTTGAGGCACTTCTTGATCATTTTGAAGCGCAATTTTTTTAGGGCTTCAATATTTCACCATATCACAGACACTGATAACACGTAGGGCCGTGTATCTCAGATTTAACATTGTTACACGATCCCTTTAAGTATTGTTTTGATGTGCATTTTGCATTCAGGTATTAAAACTTTGGGGGACAAACAACTATTTTGACAGCAGTGTAATGGAAAGGCTGAAGAACCCCGCAGAATCATTGGCACTCTATCAGGTAAGAAATGATTATGAAACCTGGGCAGCGTCTCACAAAACCGTCATAAGTACAAGTCCAACAACATCCCATTGAATATGTGTATTAAGTTTAACACATTTCAATGGGATGTCGGTGAACTTTTACTTGTGACGGTTTCGTGAGATGCTGCCCCGATATCTCAGTAGATGGATATTAGAAAATGCTGGTTGTAAACAAAAAGAAAACTCTTTGGATTGTTAATCGCTTAAATGTTTTAATTATATCAAACTGAAGTTTACATATATAACCAGTTCAAGAAATTTATTAAATCACATTTATTTTTTTAGAACAGAGTGGATGGAGATTGGATTGTATTTGGTCTTTGTTTGAAGGGGTACGTAAATTGTTTAAATGGCACAAGCATTTGGAGCAATGTATGCAGTATTTTATTACTGCAAGGAAAAGGCGCTGCAACAAATACCTTTGGATATAACAAGCTTGAATGATGAGTTACTAACAATCAAAGTGTCAAAATTGTTTATACTTAGTAGAACACACCCTGCTGCTGAAGAGAGAAAAGGATATTGATTCTGATAATGTATCTTGAATTTTTACTATCGTATGAAATGATGGAAATAATATCAGCAGCATGGAATTGATTCCTTCCCCTCCCCCCCCCCCCCTTCTTGTGTGATTTTAAAGATGCATGGTTTATGACATACATGAAGTCATCAGGTTTTGAAGCTGCTATTACCAATCACTTGTCATTAAGGTCAGTCCATCAAAAGTGACATTAAATTAATTCTACCTTGATTATTGCAACCCTCTTCCCGGACAGGGCACAAGAATCACTGAAAACGGTGAGGCCATTCAGCAACTCCATATAGCATCCCAATCCCAGTTGGCAGTCCTTCAGAAGCAACACAACGACTATGTGGTACACATGCGGCAACAACAGGCACAGTATCAGCAGCAACAGCAACAACAACAGCAACAACAAGTTCAGCAGCAGCTTGCGGCGGTGGCCGTGTCCACCCCTCTGCCCCAGGTGCCGACACCATTCTCCATGGCCCAGCAGATGCCGCCACAAGTGACGCAACAAGTGACACAATCGATGCAGCCACAGGTACATAGTCAAATCTTCTATTTGCATGTATGAGCTCCTCTTTAAAATGTTAAAAGTTTATGAGAGTAGGCATTGAACTTTTGAACTAGCGCTCAAGCATATCAGGTACCCATTTACACCTTGGTGGAGAGTGGCAAATGTAGATTAACGTCTTGCCAAAGGACATTAGTGCCGCGGTGGGACTTGAACCCTGTCCCTTGTGATCTGCAGTCGGGTGACTTATCCACTAGACCACAACACCTCTCAATTCTTTTCTTTTTTTCAGTCAGTTTAGTTTTGCTCTTTTAAAATTAGGGTATCAATTGCAGAACATGCTCATGGCACATAGTTATCTTACCATATTGATGGCTTCTTATATCGTAACTGAAAAATGGTAGAAAAGTCATAGAATCTACTTTAACGTTACATATTTCATAATTATCCAGGTAGTACCTCAGGTTGCTATCTCAACCGTCTCAGGCGGCTTCCCTCCAGCCACATCAGAAGCCCAGGCTGTAGGGTCAGCAGCACCACCACCAACTGGGCAACAACTAGCCCAGAATGTCAGCTTGCCCCAGGGGATGCTGCCAGGATCCGACCCAATGGTGCAAGCAATGTCATCAATGCCTCCAGGTAAGAGGTCTAGGACTAAGGGAAAAGTAATTGTCCAGTCTGGTTTATATGTGTGCAGTGGGTGGGGGGGGGGGGGGTTCATAAAGCTGTGCATAAAGTTACTAATGACTTTACAAATGATTTAAATATGAAGAGTCAAATGGGATGCCCAAAGTTTTTCCTGACATCTTTAACAAGTGTGACTGTTAAATTGTAGCCAAGATAAACTTTGCATTAAAAAAAAATGTTAATAATGATAAGGTTAATCCACATCTGCATATTTCAACTTTAGCTTATGCAATTAATAATGATTGAGCATCCCATTTGGCTTTTCATATTTAAGTCATTCGTAAAGTCATGCATAACTTTACGCACAGCTTTATGAAACACCCCCCAGGTATCATTAGAGATTGCGATTCTGATGTCATTCGGCATAAGGGAGACAGATTGTACATGTTCAGATGTGCATTGGAGTATTGTGTTACAAATATTTGCCCCCAAATTATGGGCTCTGATCTTTTAGTCTTTGTTTATATATCACATTTAGAAAACTTATGACAACTAAAGCCAAGCAGGGGTAATACAGTCAGACCTGTTTATAGCGACCGCCCAAGGGAAACACAAAAAGTCTTTGAAGACAGGTGGTCACTAAAGCAGGCTTGACTGTATTATGATAGCAGGGCTCTCTGGTAGGACAGTATTAATACTGATAAAGCTACCTTTGGTAAACAAGACATATTACTATTAATAATACAATAAGGAGAGTTTGAGCTATTCACTGGATTTGCAGAGAGAGGGTCATATGCACCAATGCTCGGCATATATATTTACCGGTTATCTAATCTTTCTTTTCATCACTTTCTTCAGGAATGCCACCTCAAATCGGAGGTCAACCACCAACACCACAAATGCCGCCACAATTACCTGGTGAGATCTAAGCTCAATTGTTTTGATAAGGCCTGTTGTCATCAGCTCGAGTTTGCCAAATAACCTGTTATTTTAATTATCCCGATCGCAAATTAACCAGTTAATTTGCGTGTTCATCAGCCCACAGTTGCAATTAGCGAGATATTTGGTCGAGAAAATATCCAGAGAAATCTTGATCTTGTTTCCAAAATATCCCCCTATTTGAGAAATAGCAGGCTAATTTGCGATCGTCTGAGCTAGTTTTGTGATGAGCATATCGGTCTGGTGGAGACGCAATTTAGAGCTTTGGGACAATATCCTGAGTCTGAAAAGAGTGAGCTATTTGCCAAACTCAAGCTGATGACGACAGGCCTTTAGTGATACCATAGTGATGCCCTTGTTGTTGCTGTTGTTATAATCATTTAGAAAAGCTTATATGTACAAATAGACCCTGGTGGACTTTAAAAGTATTTTACAACCAGAGTTTTGGAGACATGAACCTTTCGAAAACTGTGTATGATGGCCCTCTTAGAGGCAAGACACTTTACTGATATAAAAACAATTGTTGAGATTCTTAAACAGGATATCCAAGAGGTTGGGAAAAAATAGACATCAACATAATACAACCCATGAGGTGATTATAGTGCTTAACTTTTTACAAGCTCATGGTTTTACAGTGTATTAGATATCACAGAATGTAAAAATACTGATCTCCTGATCGTTTGTTTGTTTGTTTGTTATGTGTATATTGTGCAATTGTGGATAATGGCCTGTTCAGGTATCAACAGATAATTGTTGACAGCTGGTTACACCAGCAGTCCCTGCAAGGAGCATCCCAAATAGGCTAATACAATTGGTTCCCTGGTGCTTGTATGATAATAATAATAATAATCAGGATTTATATACTTGAGCACTTTATATGAAATACCTTTTCTAAGTGGTTTACAGATATTAATACCCTGGTCCTCAAATTCATTAACGCATGGTGTGCACCCTCTCCACTCCCTGGGGAGTGTTTCTACCACAAGGTCATTTGGAGGGCATATGGCAATTACTAACGCAAAGGCTTTCGTCATCCTACCTGGTCCCCATTTCTCCCATGGGTATGGAGTGGAAAATGTAGATTAATGCCTTGCCAAAGAAAGTTAGTGCCATGTCAGGGTATCACAAATCTCTTTCTCCCTACTCACAGCTGGCTTACCCCCAATGGACCCCTCCCTGTTTCCAGGGGGATTCCCCCCTGTCTTCAACCCTTCGGTGCCTCCACCAAACATCAGACCGCCTTTCCCTTTCCCACCAGGTGGTAAGTAGGCCAATACCCAGGTTTATTTACAGTGACAAAGTAGAGAAAATGCCTTGCTTAAAGGGGCAAGTCACTTGCAAGTTGATTTTGATAGACAGAGAAAAATTAAACTTACAAAACGGTGAAAGTTTGATCAAAATCGGATGAAAAACAAGAAAGTTATAGAGTTTTTAATAATTTCATGAAACAGTGATATGTGTCATATATTAGGCTAAATGCAAATTAGCGAGTTGGTGATGCCATCCCTTCACTTTTCTCTATTCATTTTTAACATAAAGTTAACAAAAATATCTCTCTTCTGTTCTGGGAATGTTCAAAATGGCTTGAATCCTTATGGAATATGTGCAAAATGACCTTTACTGTAACTTAATGTAATATAAAGGAAAAATTCAAATGTGCTAGAGTGAAGATGTAAAAGGAACACAAATCTTCAAGTAAACATTACATGTACACTAGGCCTAAAAAAAGATGTTGTATTGCCCTTTGCAACAGATCCAAAAATCTTGACATTCACGGTCGGCTTTTTAAAAAAGTTTTGTTTTTTTACGGTTTTTAGAGAAAAAAACTGAAAATTATCAGCCTAAAGAGGGAGGGAAAAAAAAAGCTAAAACAGAAGAAAAAAAAAAAAATTACCGACCGACCCATGTTTTGGCTCTTAAAGGGCACTACAACGTCTTTTTTTTAGGCCCTATGTTGACTTGAAACAAATGATGTATACTCTCTCTCCTTCTCTCACAGCTCTGCCTCCAAACTTCACCCTACCTCCTAACTTCGACTTCTCCAAGCCCCCTCCTTGCTTTCTGCCAGGCATGGATTTCCCTCCCATCCCCATGCCCCCCATAGCTGCACCCCCTCCAGCCCAGGACCCCAACGACCCCTCCCTCATGCCCAGAGTGCCCTACTACGACCTCCCTGCCGGTCTCATGGCACCCCTGGTATCAGTAAGTGTATAACGCTTCTAAATCTCTCTACGTTTGCTTTTAGGTATTAGGTATAACTTAACCCTCAAAACACCTAAGACTAAGATCGACTTTAAGTTGGACTTAAATATGGCAGGCCATTCATGCCACATTATTGACAATATTTGTTCCTATATCCAGAGTAATTACTTTAACAATATAATATTGTAATTATTATTTCTATTATCATTATCAATATTAGTATTATTAGTATTATTATTATTTGTATTGTTATTATTATTAGTTTGACTCATTATGATAATAAAATACATAATTATAGGCAAACAATAAACCACAAACAGTTTAACAATAACAAAAAATTATCATAATTATTGTCCATATGGTGGAAAAATAACCATGTATATATTCCAGTAAGTTACATGTAAGTTATAAGTTTAATGTTCATATCTTCTGCGGGAATGCAATACCATATTCTGATAGATCCACAACAATTTATAGTCCCTATAAATGAAACCTAACTATAAGTGCACTAAGTGCAGTGTGTATGCACTATGAATACCTATTGAAACCAGTATGAAATAATTATGATTACCGTAAATAAGCAATATATTATGACATGAGTATTAAATAGAAAAGAGCCTTTTTCATTCTTACTTCCCTCTTAACAAAATTCATGTATCTAGCCAATATATATTTTGCATTACAGCTTGAAGACACGGACTACAATCCTCTTGATCATGATGATATCAGGTTACCCCCTCCTCAGGCCCCTAGCGAGAGACTGCTGGCTGCCGTAGAGGCATTCTATGCCCCACCCTCGAGGGATGCTCCAAGAAATAGGTAAGGTCGATATTCTTACTATTCTAGCCTTGTAAAGTGCATATGTTGTATCATAGCATCTCTACAGGTTCACTTCCAAATTACTTTAGATGTTTGTAGTGATTCAAATTCAATTCTATTCAAATTTAAAAAATGATTTATTAGACAACATGGTTTGCAGCAATAAGCTGAATTGCCCATGTATACAGGATAAAAATCAACATTGAAATTTCAAATTTCTTTCAGTGAGGGCTGGGAGCAGAACGGTCTGTTTGAATTCTTCAAAGCCAAGCAGAAGTATTCCAAACTGAAGAAGGAGAGAGAGAAGGAGAATCCTAAGGAGCACAAACCCCTTTCCCCTCTCAGGGTGCCGGCCAACTCAGACAGATCGCCTTCACCTACTCCCCCTCCAGCAGCCAGGCAGCTCACCCCACCCCCAAAGCAAGAGAGCAGGAGAAGATTCAGGTCAGCGATTTACCATGATAAAGAGCGTTATGATGGTGATGGTGGTTATGATGATGATGATAATGATGATGTTGGTGGTGGTGGTGGTGGTGATGATGTTGTTGGCGACAATGACAATAACTATAATGAGGATGAGGATGGTGATCACGATGACTAATATTTCTGCAATCCTGACAGGGTTCAGTTCTCTTTGAAGCCCCACTGCACTACTTATAAGTTATAGCTACTTGCGCCCTCTATATAGCAAAAAATGCCAAATCGGTGCCTGTCGGTCCGCCATGATCCTCTTATTCTTTTGTTTATTGAGAGCTAATTTGATGATAATCACCTGTCAGTGACCTTGCAGGGCGGTCTAATCCTCTCTAGCCAAACTAGTGCGGATGGGCTTTAATTTAAGGTAATTGTGGTGTTTTTTGTCTTTGTTGTCTATTAGTTTGAATAAAACTGGTGAGTTGATGTTATTTTCAGCTTTATAAATAGTTGACGCCAAAGTCTGCTTTATTTTTTTTTAATTCTCGTTATTAATGAAAGTTATAAATCAAATATACCATGCTCCGTTTTCAAGGCCCCAGTCAAATTATAGATTCTCTTCAGTAACAAGTATAGTAACCATTTTTTCGGGGCTGTCCCTCTCAAAAACAGTGCCAGTCACCTCAGAAAATCTATTATTTCATCTGGAACCTCTCAGTGCATGGTATATTTGATTTAGTATCCAGCTCAAGGCCATTCAATATTACCTAAGTAGCTCTAAAGTAATCCATCCTATTCCTATGTGCATTTTGTGATACTCGTCCAACAGATCAAGATCTCGCTCACTGTCAAGGTCACCTTCACCTTCACCTGCACGTTCCCCTCCAAGGAGAAGCAGGCGCTCAAGGACGCGCTCAAGGTCGCGCTCTCCTCCTCCCTCCAGATTCTTCAGGAGGACATCGAGGTCTAAATCTCGTTCCAAATCTCGATCACCTCCTCCCTCCTACCGAAGAGAATCGAAGAGGGAACCGTCTCCAACAAGAGAGTCGAAAGCGCGTTCTCCCACCAAGCGCAGCCCTAGCCCAACAGAAGACTATGGAGTGTAAGTACTCTCTCATTTGTTTTTTCTCTGTTGAATCTCCGCGTGCAGTTGTATTGATTGTTCCCAGTTACAGAATATCTCCCTACATTTAGAATTCACTACACCTGGGCTTAGAGAAGAGATCTGGAGAGTGTTTCACAAAGACTTGGATCGACTTCAAGTTGGACTTAACTATGGCAGGCCGTTCATGCCACCGTTTGCTCTCACCATTTACTGGTATTGGTCTCTTTAATAAGGGACGTTCAAATTATGTTCACAAATTTTCAGAATTTACCTTTTTTGATAGTTCATTATTGAGAGACCAATGTTGAGATCAACCAGTGGCATGAACAGTTTGCCATAGTCCAGTCCAACTTAAAGTCTATCTTAGTCTTTGTGAAACACTCCCCATGGTTTAGAGAAGAGATCTGAGGCTATAAAGGCTATAGAGGTGTCATGGTCTAGTCGATACATCACCAGACTGTGGATCACATGGTTCGCTACAAAATTCTAGAAAATTTCATATGCATGCATCCAGACGTCTCCGTCATTTACTGAATTCTCCTTTCAGGGTGTACTACAGGTGTATGTAGTAATTATGACATTTCTGTTAGGATATATATCTACATTCTCATAATTTTCTTGTTTGTTTGACATTCCAGCCAACCATTCTATCAAATGCATGTTGATGTGAAGCTGGGTGAAGATAACAAGGGACATCAGCTCATGAAGAAAATGGGTGAGTAATGAGGATAATGACGAAAAACTAATGATGACGACGACGACGATGATGGTGGTGGTGATGACAACGATGATTATGATGATGGTGGTGATGAGGACGATGATCATGAAGATGACCATGATCATGATGATGGTGATAAAGAGAATATTGATATTGGTCTCCTTTACAATGTCTATCACAAGATGACGAAGATGATGATGAGGATGAGAATGATGATAGTGGTAGTGGTGGTGGTGATAATTATGATGATGGTGATAAAGATAATATTGATGTTGGTCTCCTTTACACCGTCTATCACAAGCTAGGCTAGCCTTGCATCCGATTATCACCTTTAGCATTTCAACACTACTCTGGTCCTCAGAAGAAAGTGGATACCTGTGACACTTCTCTAACTTCCTTTCCCAGTAGGCCTTTCCCAGTAGGCCTGTCTTCATCAGCTCGAGATTGCCAAATAACCCGCTATTTTATCAGCCCGCAGTTGCAATTAGCAGGATATTTTGTCGAGATAATCATCCCAAGATATCTTAGGCTAGTTTGCAAAATATCCCGCTATTTGTCCGGTGCGTCTTCACCAGTCCGAAGACTCTCACTATGCGCGAACGCTGAGGAAAATATCTTGAATTTTGAGTCTCGAGCTGATGAAGACACGATTTGTAACTTCTTATATCCCAAATCAGAAATAGCGGGCTATTTGGCAATCTCGAGCTGATGAAGACATACCTAATAATTCAATTTTTTTTTTCTTCATAGGATGGACTGGTCAAGGTCTCGGAGCCAAGGAGCAAGGTATCGTCAACCCCATCGCCAGCGGGGATGTGCGCCACGATCTGGACAAGTTCAAGGGAATTGGCATGGACATCAATGATCCCTTTGAAAGCTTCAGGAAAAGCAAGAGTTACACCTACAACAGGAGGAAATAGGTGGAGTAGGGATTGGTGAGTTCATGAGTGGAAATATAGTTTTTTTCTCAGTTTTTTTAACTTCAAAATATTGGGATAGATCAGTTATAATTAGCCAGTGAATTCTCAAATGACCACTGAATATTCAAGATAGTTTTTTTGTAGGTAGGTTCATATCTGTGCATTTGTATACACGTGTATCAATTCTTGAAATGGGGAAGGCTATTCATGACTTGTAACCTCCATTTTTGAGGGATGTACCTATGTTTAGTGCTGTCATGCACAGTAACTTTGTCAAGAATGGATTTCACAGTAGCTTAATATTAAGGGTTAAACATTACGGTGTCTTAATTGCGATTCTTTTCACACACTCCTATATTCTTTAAATGTCAAAGTCATGTTTCAGCTATCAAATATTTGTGTACACTCATGCATTAGCAGAGATGCCAACCCTCCCGATGATTGACCCCAACTCCCGACCTTATGATCACCATCCTTATCCTCCCAATTTATTTATTTTTTATTTTTTATTTTTTTTGCGCTTATCAGTATATATATCTGTGAATTGAATGAGAAATATCGTCTGTTAACTTTAACATGCAGTAATTCCCCTATGTTAAAAGACAGAATCCAAATGGCGGAAAATCAGCAAAAGAAGACCAAGAAATGGTCTCAAAAGTATAAGACCGAATACAGTATCAAGTACCTGTGTATTCGGAAGTCTGAAAGGAATTCATCATGCATTTTGTACAATTTGTATGTTATTTTAAAAAAAAGTGAGAATTATTTAACTAAATACAGAGCTTCCAGGGGTCTAAGGCAGGCCCTGGACCCCGGCCGCATGGGTCAGGCGCTCCGCGCTCGAGATGTGCGCTATGCGCACATTATTTGGTGTCGTTTCCAAATCCTCCCTATTTCTGATTTCCAAAAGTTGGCATCTCTGCATTAGTCTTAGCTTTATAATTCACATTTGACACTTAACTGCCAATGCTTGTATGTCCATGTATTTCATCATTTATCATTTCTATTTTATAACTGAATGATTAAAAAATATATCTCTTCTCTTTTGCAGATGCACAAACTGTTATCCAAGCTATGGTTTGCATCACAGAGAATCTGATCTCACAAGACGACCTCAAACCTGATGCATGGACTCCATATGCATGCACTTTCAACATCGACTTCATTCCGCAATTTTCTGTTTCTCTTCACTTTTGGTAGCCTCAATCCTCTAAATGTAAATCAGCATAATTTACTGCATCAATAATATCATTTAAATGTGATTTAGGGTTAGCAACATATTTCACATTTTGAAACAAGTTTTTATATTATAACTACAACTTCTGTTATGAATGATCAACTGTTTGAAGGTACTATGTCCCCATTGCAGTCCAAAAAAATGAACAGGTTAAATTCCAACAGCATTTGAAAGATAACACTAATTTAGAACTTCCCTCAAAACGAGGCCATGCATACATCGCAGTGCAGTACCTGTATGGAGCATGATATCAAGCCAGCAAATCCAATTGCCATATCCATGATACACGCAAATGACATATCAGTACCGGCGTGAAGTTGGTTGGATATTCAATATACATATTCAAAGTGTGAAGTTGGTTTGATATTCAACATTCATATTCAAAATTTTGTGGGTCAAGTACGATCAGGGCAACCCCAAATACTTAGCTTGCCCTGGCCCATAGGGTTTAAGGGTGTTCAAACTAAGATTATTCACAGGCAAGTAATTCAAGAATTCTGAAATGTACTCTAAGAATATATAGGGCTATAAAAATAGCCTGAAGGCTTTAGCAGGGCAAGCAGCTAGCCCAAAGGGGCAAGTAAGAATGGGGCAACCAAATTTTTTTTAGCTTGTCCTGGCTATTTGTCTATTATGCAAGTATTCTTTAGTGTCACATTTTCCCTTTGTATTTTGCACTCCCTCCCCAGTGAGGGATGGAATCTTCTTTATGTACTTTGGTGGTAGATGAGAATGTCTTTACTTTTCAATTCAATTCAATTTAATTCAAATTTATTAATCATGCACAAAATAACATGGCATAAAAATCACTTTCTGGCTGTTTCTGCAAATATATATAAAATCAATTAACATACTATCAAATTATACAAAATCAGGAATAAATACAACACACAATTGAACATGAGTACAAAATGATATACATGTAGGCCTAACATAATCATACATGTCATGTGCATGAGAAATTACCTCCTGAACCTGGCATTGTACAGGTGAGGTGAGACCATGGAACCAGACAAGACAGGAGAAGGAGATAATTGGTTTGATGATGTTATCCTGAAGCCCTACTGTTTGGTGACTGGAAGTAGTTCTCGTCATGTTTCGCTTTTTTACTGCAATGTTCTTCTGGATTTAGGGTGTCTTTTTGAGCTTGCATCTTTTTCTTTTGTACACTGTTTCATTCCGAGTTATCCTCTCCTTTCTTCTGATTTGTTCCTGCCTTACTCCTGACATTTTTCCAGTCTCATCTTTTGTCTCATCCCCGGTTACTTGACACCTTTCCTTTGAGGGTGTGGTCAGTTCTCTATGCCTTCCTTTGGTGTCTTCCGTTTCAATCCATCTGAGATTTTACTTTCATCACCTTGTTTCTTTAAGCTTTCTGTCTTTAAGACACACTACATTTAGCTGTTCCTGGATCGGAGCTTACTTTCAAACTCCATTCGCTATGATGTCGCATAATCCAACCAGGCATCATGAAAATGGCAGTTCCCCGGCATTTTGGATTAAACTGACAATAACTCACAACATTGAAATTTTCTGTAAGGCTCTTGGTGATTGTGTTTTTCTTTGCCCTTTACTTTCACCCGTACATTTTGTTTCCTTTTCATTTGACCTTTCATCCATTGCCTGATCTTTCTTCTTTGACGCTTTTGGTCTTGGCATTGCATGTGCAGGTGGCTCAAAGTAGCATCCTGTAGCCTGTCTCTTGTTCTTTGTCCCTTTACTCGCTGATCCCTTCTTTGTTGGTCTTTGCTCCAACTCTCCAAGCCTTCCTACAACATTAGTGTACGCCTTTCTAATGAATTGGGCTGGTCTTAATCAAATACGATTGCCACCACAGAAATCCTGTTTCACGATACCAAACCAGTGCTCGACAGTAGAGTTTGTCACTCTGTTAGGTATCACTTCAGTGCAACAAGGAGGCTGGTCTCTGGCATGTCTCTGGATGTCTCCCAGCATAACTGCGCTCCATAGGGGAAATATATGCATGAATTGGTTCACCGGCATAGCCATAAGCCCTGGTGTGTAGTATATGTTGTCCAGTCGACCGTTGTCATCTACATCACCAAACTGTGCATACCATGGAGCCTGTTTCTTGTTCTTCGTCCCTTTACTCCCTGATCCCTTCTTCATTGGTCTTAGCTCCAACTCTCCGAGCCTTCCTACAACATTAGTGTATGCCTTTCTAAAGAATTGGTCTGGTCTTAATCGGATACAATTGCCACCACAGAAATCCTTCTTGATATTCCGGAACCAGTTCTTGACAATAGAGTTTGTCACTCTGTTAGGTATTACTTCAGTGTAAGACAGAGGCTGGTCGCTGGCATATCTCTGGATGTTTCCCAGCATAACTGCGCTCCATAGGGGAAATATATGCATGAATTGGTTCACCGACATAGCCATAATATGCCCTGGTGTGTAGTATGCGTTCTCCAGTCGACCCTTGTCATCTACATCATCAAACTGCGTACCATGGGGCCTATTTTTTGTTCTTTGTCCTTTTACTCCTCGATCCCTTCTTCATTGGTCTTAGCTCTAACACTCCAAGCCTTCCTACAACATTAGTGTACGCCCTTCTAATGAATTGGGCTGGTCTTAATTGGATACGATTGCCACCACAGAAATCCTGTTTCACGATACCAAACCAGTGCTCGACAGTAGAGTTTGTCACTCTGTTAGGTATCACTTCAGTGCAACAAGGAGGCTGGTCTCTGGCATATCTCTGGATGTCTCCCAGCATAACTGCGCTCCATAGGGGAAATATATGCATGAATTGGTTCACCGGCATAGCCATAAGCCCTGGTGTGTAGTATATGTTGTCCAGTCGACCGTTGTCATCTACATCACCAAACTGTGCGTACCATGGAGCCTGTTTCTTGTTCTTCTTCCCTTTACTCCCTGATCCCTTCTTCATTGGTCTTAGCTCCAACTCTCCGAGCCTTCCTACAACATTAGTGTATGCCTTTCTAATGAATTGGTCTGATCTTAATCGGATACAATTGCCACCACAGAAATCCTTCTTGATATTCCCGAACCAGTTCTCGACAACAGAGTTTGTCACTCTGTTAGTAATTACTTCAGCGTAAGACGGAGACTGGTCTCTGGCATATCTCTGGATGTCTCCCAGCATAACTGCGCTCCATAGGAGAAATATATGCATGAATTGGTTCACCAGCATAGTCATAAGCCCTGGTATGTATTATGCGTTGTCCAGTCGACCCTTGTCATCTACATCATCAAGCTGGGCTTCAGCAGCATCTGCTTTGCGAATCTCATCTCTCATGATGTTCATGAACTTAACATCATTTTGTGAGAATGCTGCTCCTTCATCCTTACTATCCCCAGAAATCGCTCTCCCGACAACCTACACATGACTGACCTTTCAACTCTCTGACTTGATAGCTTTGTGTTGAATGCAGTGTGCATTAACTTGAAGATTCTGCTGGCAGCTTTCACATCACATGCTGTTTGCAAGATGGCAAAGCAATGCCAAATGATTTTTTTTTCCCCTTCTTATCTGGACTAAGGTCTCTCAGACACTTTGACATGGTGTGCAATATATGGGTCGCACACAGGTGGGGGATTGTCTTGCCCCTCGGTCCTTTGGTTGTCCTTTTCCTGTTAACAATGGCCCAACTTTTCTCAAGGTACCCTTTGCAGTCTTCTTCATTAAAGGAAGAAAGCACAGCTTGTATCAATGCCCTGGAGAAATCCGTCACTACTCTGTTCGGTACCACATGTGCTAGTTGATTTTTGAAGAATGTTGGTCCATTGACAACATTTCTAAGAGGGGGAATGTTTAATCTGTTCGGTACAACATGTGCTAGCTGTCTGTTTGTTGTGATTGCATTCACAAATCTGGCAAGGAAATGTTTGATTTCTGAAGAATGTTGGTCTGTTGACAACATTTCGAGGGGGGGGGGTGCTGGTTCTTTCTTTGATGGTATTTGACATGACAAGGACATAATATAATGACTGCTTGTCCTGCCCTAGCATCTTTTAACCACTGAACCTGTGGCATCCGGATGCAATGTCGTCTCCCCCTTCTTTCTCTGTTGAAGGTGCCACTTGACTTGTTCGACCATCAGCAGATGGACTTTGAAGGGGTATATCGAAA